TTTTTAATATAAGAAGCCAGATTTTAAATACCTTGTTGAAAGCTCTTCAACTATTTACACTTGAAATTTTCCCTTTGAACCATATCAATTCAGCAGCCAATGAACTTAATAAATCAACCTGATGTAATACAGAAGGCCGAATATAAGGGTGTAAGAGAGAGAATGTGAAGCAGGTGCTCTCTGCACAAGGAGGAAAGAGAGAAGCAGCAGGGATTAGAGAGGGCCAGAGGAAGACTTCCAACCAGAATGGTAACTCCATTCCAGGCACAGCTGCTGAGGCCACATTCTTGGGAACCCCGGAGACCTAATATACAGATAGCAAGAGAAATTCTCACAGGAACTGGAAAGCAGCTTTCCCAGCTGCTCTTGGAAAGAGGTAACGTATTCAGAGTACGCAGGCGCCCAGACACAGCTGGGCACAACAGCCCCGAGGCAAAGGCATTCCGTGAGTGTGCAGAGCTTGCTCTTGGGAAAGAACACAGCAGGAACATGCTGTTTTCCAGGGTCTCTCCCAGTTTCGCATACATATCCAAACCAATAGTGCTAATCTTGCCATTAGCAATAAATAAATTGAAGTATCAAGTCCCTTTCATATCTGCTAGGTCTTTCAAACGAGGTATACCCATACAATTTTTCTTGGGTGATTTTAAGTAAGTCTATTATTTGCATTGTTTAGGTAAATGATATTGTTTTCCATTCAGAGGTGGTCTTTGTGCTAATCTACTTTAGAATGCTTTAGCTTTAAAACAGCTATCATCCCTGGCTAAACAAAGGGGTGAAAAGGGGCAAGTAACTTTTTGGGGTGCCCTGACTAGAAATGCACAGGAAAGTAATGTCCTGTTCAACTAAGCCATCTTATTCCAAGGCCTAACTCTAACCTTCTCTGAACTCCCAAACCCTCACTTCTATGACAAAGGCATCAGAGTTTCATAACGCAGCTCTCAAACCCTTATCCCAAGGGTCACTTCTCCTTTCAATCCAATCCAGTGCCCTTTGACTTCTCACTTCTCCCCCAGCTCTTTCCTAAATCCTCTCCCACCTGTTCATCTATCTCTTCTGTCCCCATCTTTCCCAGCCCTACTTAAAGTCAAATACTTGTCTGTCCACATCCACCACCATGCAGCGCTCACAAGCAGCCCCACCAGTATCTACACTTCTGAAGATCTCCCTCCTCAAAATGCCAACCTTTTCCCCATCTTCCTAAGCTCTCCTATTCATTCTCTCTCCCTGCTTCAAATCCACATCCACCACAGTCTCCCAGATGGCTCAAATCTGAGAAAATTCCCATTTGGCTTCTCTAGTTTTGCTTGTACAACAAACAAACATTTCTGCTTCTCCGTGGGCTGCTGTGCCATTATGGCTTTATTGGACAGTGGTACCTCTTGTCGTCTTTCCTTTTTACTCCATTGCTCCTTTTTTACTCCATTTTTCCCTGTCCAATATGCCTCACATGAGCCCAGTGTTGATACAGAAGCCTCTGCCAGGCTTCTTTTGTCACAAGGTCTCAGGCTTTACTGCTTACATACCTGCTGTGTGAGGAGACTGATGTGGCTCAGTGGAGAATACTGACGGGTCGCCTGCTTTTCTGACAGCTGCTGTAGTTCTGCTGCTACCACACCCTGGCTATAATGCTTGCCATGGCAAGAGGCATCCTCTGGATCTTTCTGCATCCTGGTCGAGCCCACACGCTGTTTACTTGGACTGCGACGGCACAAACCTAACAAACAAACATTTGGATACGATTATTTAGTAGTTTGCCTCTATAAATCTAATGGCTACAGTTTCTCCTACCCTTCAGATATCTCACACTCTAAATATTGCATTGCTCAACTATGTTCTGTCCCAAAATGGTAATGTGAGATTTCTAAATTCTGTTTGTAAAATGTTCTAAGATTAAAGTTGCACATGAAGTTACAGAAAAAAATCTTGACAGTGAGAGGACAGAGCCCTGGAACAGGCTGCCCAGGGAGGTTGTGGAGTCTCCTTCTCCGGAGATGTTCAAAATCTGCTTGGATGCAACCCTGTGCTCTAGGTGTCCCTGCTGGAGCAGGGGTTGGACTAGATGATGTCCAAAGGTCCCTTCTGATCATTAAGATTCTATGACTCTATGCCAGTTCTGAAAGATCCTAGAGAAAGATATGCGATCCAAATCTAATCCAAATTCAGATCTTTTTTTTTTTTTTTGGAGGACCTGACAAACCTTTTTGAAAAAAAACCCAGGGGTTGCCAAAGAACTTTATGAAATTTAACACCAAGGGAACAAGACTCAGTTCTGGAAGTAAGAGATTTTGACCTATTCTGGATAAAGCAGAGACTACACAGCCTCTGTATGACACTAGCGGGTATCCTACTATGCCTCCCGAAAAACTCACCCGCCTTTGCAGAGGATGACTGTGATAATCTTTGGCTGTATATCTGAGCAGCTCTCTGAAGAGAGGAGAGTGGATTAACAGTGTAGCTCCCGTACCGGCAATGATGCAACCCCGAAAGGCTCGAGGCCTCACTGGGCACTGCGCTTGGGAAGACAGCCGAGCTGTCAGGGGCTGTGCCCTGGGTCTGAGACGGAGGTGAGGAGGATGGGGAATGAATCAGTCTAGGACCAACTGGAGGAGCCAGCAGTGAATGGTGAGCAGGCATCTGTGGGTTTTCAGAGGCTGCAGGCTGAGACGGTAACTGGGAGCTGGTACTTCTCTGGGAAGTGGCATCAGGAACAAAGGAGGAAGCACTAGCAGGGCCACAGCGAGGTAATTTCACTTCTGCATTTAGGAGGGTGGATCCTTCTGGAGCTGTACAAAAACAGCAAGCACGTTACATGAGAAAAGCTGCTTTCCAGGTCCGTCAGATAATATACCCAAGATGTCACTACTCATACACTCACTGAAGCCAAAATGATGTCATCTACCAGCAAAGACAAGAAGTTCTACATGAGGAACATCCCCTTTTGGAGTTTGACATATCTAACTAACAGCAGCTACCTTACTCACACTGCTTACCCTATACACACACTCTCTCAAATTTTAAAGAAAACCCAGGGAATCTTCCCCAAACTCAAGTCCCTACAAAAACCTCAGTCCGTTTTTGTCCACAAGTTCCAACCTCACCATTTGTTTAAGACAGTATGTACATTCATCACTGCTTTCTTGAAAATTGTTGAAGATCATTTACTTACAAGTTGATTTCACTTCTTTGGGTTTATAGCCTCTTATTGCTTCTTCTGCAGGCACATCAACTGAACTTTGGGCCTGATCACTTCTTATGTGTTTCGTCACCTCAGGACGTTCTGTAACAAAATCCGGGAGTTATAAAATAGAACAATTTGAATTATAATACCACTAGAATAGGGCTGAATAGCCAGTATATTATGTAAACTAGTTCATGTTCACTCCATTTCATCTCAGGGAAAGAAGCTAGGGATGCAGACACTCTTGTCTACACATATGTAATCAGTGAAAAACAAAGTACCATCTCCAAACACCTGAATCACATTTTTGAGGTGATGCTGTCTTTCCACAGATTAAAATAAAAACTTGATTAATCTAGACAATATCATCTGAGAACTACCTGCAACACCTACCTCCTTGAGGCTGAGTCTCTGAGTGGTTAATGCTTTTGCTGGCTTTGGGGGTTCTGGAATTTGTTCCTAGAAAGACACTTGCTGACTTGTTTTTGTGGGTGTAAAATGTCAGCACTTCTTCCAGGTCACTCTCACTGCAATAACATGAGAAGAAAGGACTAAATGAGGATTCCAAGCCATCACATAATGATGAAAGAGGACAGAAGGATAAGGAGGCTAAACAGGGAAAGGAGAAGAGAAAAAAAAAAAAAAAAAAGCAAGGCCAGACAACCTATTGAATTGCTCAGTCCTACAGGGCTAGAGTGGTAGGCATGGAGCATGCCTTGGTTAAAACCAAAATTCCCACTGAAACACCATTCTTTTACAAAGCGGAAAATTCAAAGCATTCAGGAAGCAGGAACTTCCCCAGCATAAAAAAAGAACAACTGAAAACTCCAAATACATTTGGAGGTGCTCAACAGGAGAGATTCAGTTCTCAGCTAAACTAGTGAAACTTCCCCAGGTGCTCTCCAGAACAAGCAATTATCACATTCATAAGGGAAGTCAGCTCAGCTGCTGCTCAGCTGCTGCTTCACACTCAACAGCAGCAGTTTCAATGCAACAGTGGAAGGACAAGGAAAGAGCTAATTAATTAGCAAAAACACAGCACAACAGTCAATATGTTTGCGAAGCTCCAAATTTGCAAATACTTATTTTTTTGACAAGAAATTTGCTCTTATTTTCTTGACAAGAAAAGGGGGAGAAGGGGTTTAAATGCCCCTGTGTCCTATGCCTTTATTGCTCCGCACATCAGTATCAGTTAGTTGGCCACTCTAATCAGAGTTTGGGTGAGCTGTATCCCCCTCCCCTTTTTTTTTTTTTTTAATTAATAAGTAGCTGCCTGTCTTTTTGCGCTACAATGCTGCCTCAGCATTACTGTAAGTGAATGTATAGCACAGTGCACACCAAGAGCTAGAAAGAGAGCGCCAGGGACTCCACAGTAGAACTTAATACAGGAACACAACTTTGCACAGCAGCAGTTACAATCCTTCACAATGTCCTCTGCCTATCACAGCTGTATTAGTCTTTGCTTTTAGCAAAGTTCAGTACCACCCACTTCTGATCAATCACTGTGCTCTCCAGAGGAAAATAGTGAGCAATTTTCAAACCGATTGAAAAGAAAGAAGTAGTGATAGTCTCAACTTTCCTAGAGAAGACAAAAGTGCATTAAAAAGACAACCAAACTACCTGCTCAGAAACTGGCAGAGGTTCTTACCGATACAAGCACATCATGTAACTGTACATTAATGGAGAGTCATGCTGAAGAGTCAGCTTTGTACTCAAGAATCAGAGGCTTTGAGTCAAAAGGAGTGAGTTTTGCGCTCAAGAATTAGAGGCTTGAGGAAATAACTCCAGTTCACTCAATAATTTCAAACATCTCTATATTTAAATGACTACAATACTGATGCTCATAAGATATTCTACAGAATACATACACATAAAGGGGATTCACCTCATTTTCAGAACACGTTTCCTACTAGATTCTTATAAGCTTAAGACCATAGTGTATGCAATTGGAAAATGCTGCTTTTTCAATGTGAAACTAACTAATTGCATTGGACTTCCTTAATAAGCAAGATAAGAGGCTAGGATGAAGACTGAGTATACTTCATTTCCTTCCTCATCTCAGGAAGTAAAGTCCTAAAGACAGCTATCAAGGCAATTTGTTTCCTGAGAGCAGAAACTTAAGAGCCGAAACCACCACACAACAGTTGGAAACCATTTAAGCAGCAGCCTTAGCTGTATTCTCCTTCCAAAATACTACTGCACTTGCTCCAGGATCCCAGGAAAGGAGATCATTAGCTCACAAGCACCAGATGGGAATTTATAGACACCAGGGAAGACTGCAGTTTTCTGGATCTACTTAATGATTAAAATATCTTTTGTATGTCCTCCTTTAGGCACCAGATGCTGGTGCTACAAGTGTTTGGTTGCTAGAAGGGAGGGAGGGAGGGAGAGAGGGAGAGAGAGAGAGAGAGAGAAGGAAAAAAAAGGAAAAAAAAAGAGAGAGAAAATAAAAGTTTCTTGACTCCCAGCAACAGCAGGAGCAGACTGAGCAAAGGTCAGCCAGGTCTTATAGCACAATACCATCCTCTTTAAGGTTAGGAAATCCCTTACCGAAAGAAATAAAATCCATTCCTACCTTGCCTTCGCAATAAAGTTCTGAAAGCCTTCAGCATTCACTCCCTCCTCCACCTCCTCTTCCCGTTTCTTTTTTGATCGTTTCTGAACCATCTGCTCCGTTTCCTGTGAAGAAGCAGTATTAGCAAGCGTGTCTGTGCAGTCACTCTACGTTCTGTGGTGCACCCACAGCTCAGAACACAAAGAGCAATTCCACGGCATCTAGGAGAAAGAACATCTTCTACAAAGAGCCAAAGTGCAAGTGCAGTTCAGCTACATGCAGCAGAACAGGTGAGTGCAGACAGCCCCAGAGAGGGCAAGCCGAGCTGATCCCAGATTCCTGACTCCTCACCCTGACATAACCTATGGGAACTGACTTGCTGAGAAGCTTTCAAGCCTTACAGGTATATTCTGCTCCCTCAACTACATCCTTTGCAGAGACAGGGGAAAAAAGTACCATTTTTTGAAGCCTTTACACGGTTTTTCCATTTCTGATGTTTTTGTCCCCAGTGCAGGCTTCCCCCCTAAAAGCTTATATTCAAATCTTTCTGTCCAAAAGAGGATTTTTTTTCCTAGATTACATTAGAATAAATTACAATAAACCTTTGTGAGAATGGAAGCAAGCTATGAGATAAAATATCTTTTCTTTTTTGCTAGAACTTCTTGACACCAGAGGTTGCATTCATACAAAAATTAACTAAAAAAATAAAAATTCACAGCTCTCTCTGAAATACCGATATCAACAGATAATAGGCAGACTTAACCTCCATTTTGTTGGTCCATACTACTAACTCCCAGCTTTGCCAGGACTAGAGGGTCAGATACCTCCTGCAAAAGGCAGTTTGGGGGCAGGGGAAGCCACTCTGGGACATGTCTCTATTCTTCACTACTTTAGGAGAAGTCTTGAAATATGTTGATCCGTTTTATTTATCTTGCTGAAGACAGTGTATTTTCCTTCTGTTCCATATAAGACACATAATGGCTAGTAGGAATCTCCTGCTAAATCTGTGGTCACAAGTCAGTGAATGAAATCTTTATGTTGGAATCAAACATGAAAAAAGAACTGCAGCCTAATAGTCTCTCAATAGCTTAAAAGCGTATGTTCTAAAAGCTCAAGTGATCTGTTCTCACTTGTTTTTAACTAAGAAAATATGTTTATGTAATGATTTATTACCAGTTATACAGCTTTATTTTGTGAATTTACTCGAGAGTTAGCAGAAAATCCTCATGTTTGAATACAATTTGAGTAGAAGTTATATCCAAAGCAGCTGTGTTCTTCACTCACTACAGAGCCACCCGGGCGTTTCGTGGTTGCTCCCAACACAGTGGTTCAGTGAGCGTTGGGCACACAAGGCTCTCCCTGCAACACATTTGGTTGGATACCAGCCTTGCTTTGCCAGGTCAAGCACCACATGTCCCTTCTGAGAAGCTCCTGTGAATGGATGTCCTCTGCTAGTGAGGGGGAGACGAGATCTGCATGTGCAGCAATGCCTCTGGAAGCAGGAGCCAAACTCACCTTGTCCTCACACTAAAGGAAGGGCAGGGGGCAGTGGGAAAGGGAAGCTGGTCTGATTAAATAAGGATCAACATGAAACCACTATGTTAAGAACACTATCTTCTATACCCAAAGAAATGAAAATTACTTAAATTAGGACTCAAATCTTCTTGTCACGAAGCATGCAGAATTCCACACTAGAGAATTTCCTCAGAATTTGACTTGCATTTCCTCAGTATATGAAACAAATGGTAAAATACATTTTCACATACTGTATAGATAAAAATGATTATCTCTAGAGAAGCATCATAAAAATAGCGAGAAATGGAAAAAGACAATACAAAGCATTAGAACAAAGGCAAGGCAAAGGAAACAAAGTTAAATGGCACCTCACCAAACATTTATTTTTATTGACATCCACAGAAACATTCAGACTTATCTTCATTTGACAGGTGTCAACAAAATGCATCTCTAAGTCTGCATTTTTTGATCAACACTTTGATAAAGTTAAGGAAACTCATATGCACAATTTCTGCACTACACACACAATGCAGCAATACTGTTGTCTACCTTACAATTTGAACAAACAGCTGCCATGACTGCATGTGCATCTGCAAAGAAACCATATCAATTACCAACATATCCCTTAAAGAGGCTGTTCTTTTGACTATGTCAAGACCAGCAGCAAATATTGTAGAGAAAGATACCAGAAAACAATATCATCAGCTGCACTAGGGTAAGATGCCTTGTGAACAGTTTCTTACGCAAGCTGGATACAAAAATTTGGATTTAAACAAACAGCATTTCTAAGAGGTCCTGAGCTTTACAAGTCCTTAGTAATTTGATAGTTACCTATGAATGGGTGATTTATATTCAGCTTCTGACCTTTAATGTGCAGTAACCATGGTGGCTGCTGCTGCTGGAGTCAAAGGAGATGATCAGCACCAGTTACCGGTTTTATGCAAAGCATAATACTTGACATATAAAACATATATATGTTTCACAATCTATTACACATCAACAAGGCACATTGTGGTGCAGGGAAGCCTGAAGGCACCTCAGGCACAAACGAACTAAGCAACTTAGCCCTCTGCTGAGGGGGCTGAGCTACCAAGAGAAGAATCCAAGGAGGAACCACTCACCTTGTTGTAGCAGACTATGAACTCGCCCAGCTGGCGAGCCAGGATGCGGCGCCGCTCGCTCAGGCCCAGGCGGCGGCTGGGCAGCAGCATCCTCAGGGAGTGCTGCAGGTTGCTGGCCGCTCGCTTCAGAAAGCGCACCACGAGCTCCTGCGGGCACAGGAGACAGGCCTCACGATGGACTAGCAGCAGAACGTGGCGAGAGGGCAACTGAGGTGCAACACCAGCTCATGGCTGGCAAGAACTAAACACTGCTTGGGGAAAGTGACCCGGCAAACGGCAGGCGGAAACTTTCTTCATGTGTGTTTTTAACTCAGACATACAAGGCCAAGGCAGGGGAAAAGGAGGAGGATGCATCTAATCTGAGTGGGGACAGAGGTAGGATACTTGTCTGAAAAGCATGTGGCAGACTAGAAAAAGCTGCAACAACATAAACTAGCCCATAAAAGCAATACTTCTGACAATATTTTTTTAAAAATAACAAGCTGTAATGTGCTAAGAGTCCTGCGATGGAACATACTGACATAAAGCATCTCAGGCCACCACAGGGAAGGCCATCATCACCGGAGAGCTCCACTGCAGCGAGGAGGCCCATTAGCCCCACTGTCCATATATGCACATTACTGCCACATCTCTCCAAGCAACAGATGATTACATTGATGGCCATATAATTGCAATCCCCCACGAGGCAGGGCCCATTTCTATATGGCCTCTCCTGGTGTAAACACACAAGGCACATCCCAAGGCAAAACGCATCCTGCATGGGGCATGTGCAACCCTTGCTGTCTCCCCTCTGGATTTGCTTTTGGTTAGGAGCTCTGCTAATGCATAAATGAACTGCCTCACAGCCAGACTATTAGATTTCACAGCTCGCCTCTCACTGCCATTACAGCAGGCTGGTTTGATCTGTTATTTTAAACATTATTTTTCACAGAGCAGCAGACAAAGTGACTCTCAAAAAGCCCGTTTTAATTTTCCACTTGGAAAGAGTAGGGGTAACATTTTCCACTGAGCTGACTGATTATTCTTGACAAACAGTTTTATCTCCAAACTGCACTGGCTGTTTCCCTGCAACATGCATTCATCAAGAACCCATCTGGGCTGCACAAAACTCAAGAGTCTACTGCTGCTTTCCCCCCTCCCACCCATCTTCCTGCAGAAGGTTTGCAAGGGAATTTGGGTTTCCTGCAGTCTGTAAAAGGCAGAAACTTTAAAATGCTGCCTAGAAAAGTCCATAAAGCCTCTAAAAAAGAAAAAAAAAAAAGGAAAAAAGAAAGTGACTCTTATTTTTACTCATCCATCTAGAAAGCAAGGAAGAAACCTAAGCAGATAGTAAAACAATACACAAGAGAAAAAAGCTTATCTAGGTACCCATCTCTAGCTGAGTGGATGTGCAAGGACAGCACTAGATCCTGGCAAGCAATCCTAGAGAATCCTAGAAGGATTCAAAAGCACGTAGGCATAGAGCTGGGAGATGCAGGGAAGGAGAACCTGTGAAAGATTCGAGTAGCTCAAGCGTCAATCACACTCTGGTTAAGAGCTGTCTATTCTATTCCTGCTCAACTGACACTCAGCATTTTTACATGGCTCAAAAGCTTCAAAAAAATACCTGTCAGTAGACAAGTATAGTATCAAAGACTGTACCTCTTTGAGAAAGGGGGACTGACCTCAGAACTCTCTAGAAGATTTCAGCTGGGCTTTTCTGGACTAACACGAAGTTTCTTACCATTTGCTCATCCTCCTTGGCAGCCCAGGCAGCATTCTGGATCTGGTCACCAGCCTCCTTCATCAGTCGCAACTGGACATGCTGTAGGTAGGCAGAGAAAGCTCTGCGAGCCTGCACTTTGCTGTGGACCAAGAGAGGAACAGTTAGACATCCTCAGAGTAGCAACAGAAAGGGCTGAAGCAGTCAGGCACGGGTTACAGACCCACGTACAGTCAGTAAGGAAAACACAGGCGCAAAAATGTTGAAGTTCCAGGGAACAAGAATCCCTTCAACCCAACCAGGATTTTCAAGGGGACCTTCATTTCACTAGGAGAGGGCAGGAGCTGCAGGAGATAAGAGACAACTGAAGCTCTCAATTCTAAGACCATCTCTAAAAGTGGAGAACAGCTCTCCTTGATTTCTCATAACCAAAACAACTCTTCTCCAAAAGCCAACTGCCTGAACATTAGCAAAACTCAGTATTTTTAAACTCAGTCACAGGCTTTCTTGGGGGCTCTGCCTTCACAAGCATTTAAAACACCACAACAACAGACCATAAAATAAATAAAGGACTTGGTACCAGTGCCAGAGTTGTAACAAAGACCCTGCAATTCCCATTGGAAAAGGAAGAATTAGGCCTGTGAAAGTGAGCTCTTTCCCTGCTGGCCCAAGGACACTGGCCAGATTTCATTGAGCAAGCCGCCAGTGAAGAATGAAAGATCATCACCAAAATCTGCTGTGCAGCTGGCTGAACACGTTGGGAAGTCATGAGCATAAACTGAGGACTAGGAGGGACACACTGATTCCCATCCCCTCACAGTGGGAGTCACTTCAGTGTACACTTCTGTTACAAGAGAAATCCCTGAAAACTGCCTAATTCTGTCCCTTGTCATCTTGGTCTAGACCCTCCTCTCCGAGTTCTGCTTTGCCTCTCTCCATTCTTCCTTACAGCTCCTCTCCAAAGTCGCCACAGGCTCTCCCTGACATTGCCCAGCATGATTTTTCCTTTCCTTTTCAAAAGGGCATAGAAGCAGATGGGGTTTAGTGTCAGTGACCAACTCCTCTTCTATCACATGCAATGTCACAGAATCACAGAATATTTAAGGTTGGAAGGGACCTCTACAGATCATCTAGTCCAACCTTCCTGCTCAAGCAGGCACACCTACAGCATGTGGCACAGGGTGGCATCCAGGCAGGTTTTGAAGACCTCCAGAGAAGGAGACTCCACAACCCTCCTGGGCAGCCTGTGCCAGGGCTCTGTCACCCTAACAGTAAAGAAGTTGCTCCTCACCTGGAGATGGGACTTCCTGTGCTCCAGCTTGTGGCCATTACCCCTCGTCCTATCGCTGGCCACCAGTGAGAACAGCCTGTCCCCTTCCTCCCTGCATTCTCCCTTCCTGAACTTATACATATTAATCATATCCCCTCTGAGCCGTCTCTTCTCCAGAGAAAACAGGCCCAGCTCACTCAGCCTCTCTTCGTATGAGAGATGTTCCATTCCCTTAATCATCCTGGTTGCCCTTCTCTGGACCCTCTCTAGGAGCTCCACATCCCTCTTATACTGGGGAGCCCAGAACTGCACACAGTGCTCCAGGTGCAGCCTCACCAGAGCTGAGTAGAGGGGCAGAATCACCTCCCTTGACCTGCTGGCAACACTCCTCCTGATGCAGGCCAGGATCCCATGGGCCTTCTTGGCCACGAGGGCATACTGCTCACTCATGGTTAACTTAGTGTCAACCAGGACTCCCAGGTCCCTCTCCGTGGAGCTGCTCTCCAGCAGGTCGACCCCTAATCTGTACTGGTGCCGCGGGTTATTCCTCCCCAGGTGCAGGACCCTGCACTTATCCTTATTGAACCTCATGAGGTTCCTCTCTGTCCAACTCTCCAGCCTGTCCAGGTCCCTCTGGATGGCAGCACAGCCCTCCGGAGTGTTGGCCACTCCACCCAGCTTGGTGTCATCTGCAAACTTGCTCAGGGTGCACTCCATGCCCTCGTCCAGGTCATTGATGAACAAACTGAAGAGCACCGGGGCCAGTACTGACCCCTGGGGAACACCACTGGCCACAGGCCTCCAACTGGACTCGGCCCCATTTATCACCACCCTCTGAGCTCTGCCATCCAGCCAGCCCTCAATCCACCGCACCGTGCACTCATCTAGTCCACTGTCCCGGAGCTTCCGTATGAGGATGTTATGGGAGACAGTGTCAAAAGCCTTGCTGAAGTCAAGGTAGACAACATCCACGGCTCTCCCCTCGTCCAGCCAGCCTGTCATCCCATCATAGAAGGCTATGAGGTTCGTCAGACATGACTTCCCCTTGGTGAATCCATGCTGACTGCTCCTCAGCAGCTTCTTCTCCTCCATATGCCTGGAGATTCTCTCTAGGATGAACCGCTCCATCACCTTTCCAGGGACAGAGGTGAGGCTGACCGGCCTGTAATTGCCCGGCTCCTCCCTCTTGCCCTTTTTGAAGACTGGAGTGACGTTGGCTCTCTTCCAGTCCTCGGGCACCTCCCCTGCTCTCCAGGACCTCTCAAAATGTCATAATCTCTTCTATAAAATTAATCTAGTTTGATCTTAAAACAAGCTAAATTTTTCACTCCATTACTTCTCTGGAATGCTAGACCAGAATTCATGTATTCATGCTAATAGTTATGAACCTTCTTTTACTACCTAGACTAGCTTCACTCATGCTCAGTTTCACCAGCTCGCTCTTTCTCCAACGTCCTCTTATAACTTACATCATTTCAGCCCTGATGCGTCTCCTACCCTGAATGTACTCATGGATAGTGATCATACTCCTTCTTAGTTTTCTTTTTTTTTTGAGTGTGAACTATGCAGATCTTTTAGTCTCTCCTTAAAAAGTGACCACCTGATAGAACTAGCAGCTTGTCTCTGTTTCAGCCACAGTTCATCTTCTTTGAACACAGGCAATAGGAATTGTACATAATATTCCAGATGAAATCTCATCAGGGACTTGTACAGTGACAATAAAATTTCAGTGGAATTAGGGAAGTATCTACAACCTAGATCACGTTCATTGCTTCCATTCATGCATAAGCCAGAGTTTTGCAAGCCTCCTGTGGTTAACAGGCATGCATGATATTTCTTCTTTTAAATCATTATCAGTTGATGAATACCTAGGTGATACAACTCCTGCTATGAACTACTACTTAAGAGCACAGCCTTGCACATTATGTTACTGAATATCATCTTATTCATACTATTCCTACCCTCAAGGTCACCCAATACGTATCTGCATACTTTGTTGTTTTCTGACAACGCCCAAATGTTTCTCATTAGAAAATTTAATGAGTGCATGTCCACAGTCTGTGCCATTCCTGAACAAATCATCAAAATCAGAATCAGGCTCATTTCTGATTCCTGAGAAACTCCACCTTTTTATTTTTATTATTTATTTCTGTTCTCTGTTTCCAAATACTTACTTTGCCCTTATGACTTTAACAGCTCTACACCTCCATGTACAAGATTTCCTGAAGTTTTATCAAAAACTCAGTCCAGAAATATAGTCTTCCTGTTTAATGTACCAGTAAACATCAGGAATATTTCTTTACAGTGTTATATCATACAAAAATCATACAAAAAAACATACAAAATTTTGACAGCTATAAGGATCACAGCATCAACTTAAGACATATATGAGGAGATGAGAATCAAAGTTAAAATAAGATTCATTATTTGTATTTATGCATCCGCTTCATCATTAGATTCTGATGCTTCTGAAAGACCATGATAGGACCAAAGAGAAGCTAATCAAATGATGAGTTCACCAGAACCTCAAAATGACATCCTCTCTCTACTTGAATAACCTTAGCAGTTCTGCTTTAGCAAAAGGAAATACAAGATAAAAACATCTGGCTTCATTTGTGTCTTCCAGTGAACTCCAGAACACACAACAGTCCTGGCGAGACATCCAGGCTCCCTATCCTGACCCTAGTCACCAAATGCACCTTCCCTTCCCACAAGAGGAGAATGCCACAGGAGAACATCCTGAATCCCAGCTAAGAATTAATACTCCATACATCAAGCCACCTTATATCAAGGAAGTCTCTCTCCTGAGAGCTTTGTTCTGCAAGTACATCAAATACCTTCTGAGCAGAGTGTAAGATTGGTGCTGACTGGTGCCTCAAGACTCTCATTATCAACAACATGATTCTTCCCTGCATCTGACTTCTTTGATTCCAAAATGGAAAACTGGCAAAGATCTTTGAGGTAAATGGTGTGTTGAATTTGTAGCCCAGAGGCCTTAAATGCATGACAAGCAACTTCCTTTTATTTTCCCTAGGAACAGCACAAAGGGAACACTCTTCATTCTAGTATCACCCTCTCTACCAATAGCACCCAACGTACAGAAGGCAGAGAAACCGGAGAGAGAAAGAGAAGTCCTGCCATTTAAAAAAGAACTGACTGAAACAGGCCTGGTTTCTTTCAGAAGAAAATTTCATGACTTCAGTTTGACCCTGCTGCAAAGGTTTCAGCAGTGACAGATCAGATGGGGCTAAGCCCAGTACAGTCCTAGCAAATGAGGTCACTGCAAGCCTGACGCTTCTGGGGGGAATCCCAACAGCACTGGGTGCTGAGAACATCAGACAGATCTTGTGTTCTTGGCAGGGACTTGTGCTATATATAGGTGGGTGAGCTCAGCCTTGCTGTGCCTGTCCTGGAAACAGGTTTCAGAAACTTCCCATGTGACAGCAGCAAATGCCTTAGCCACAAGAAGGCAGCAGAACAATCTCCAAATCTAGTTTATCCTTCATAAATCCTCACAAAAAAACTAACCTCAGAAAGCAGCAATCCACAACAATTTTCTTCTGAGCTTTTCTTGCACAAAACATAATACTGTTTGATATCCAGAAGACATGAGCTCTTACACAGATGCATATGCTCACCCTTTATGTTTGCCCTTTTCCGTGCACAGTTCTATTCCTCTTACTTAAAAAAAGGAATCACTATTCTAAACATTTACTAGGTCCCTCATTGGTGACCTAATGGGTCACACTATTTCCTCTTTTTTTTTTTTTTTTAACAAGCCACTGAGCCATGCATCAAAACACATCCTGCTGCACTTTGTTCTCAACAGCAGGCAGCGAGATATCTCAATAACTTAGCATTCTCAAGTGCCTTTGTTTTGTTTTTTAGGAGGTGGTGACATCATGAAAGTCACTGAGTATTTTTAGAGGTAAAAATTCCATCATCAAAAATAAAAACAGAAAAAAAATAAAACTATGTTTTTATGGTGAGGCAGTGTTCAATTATTCTCAACTTTTCTTAGATGGTTTAACATATATTGATACACACTTCTGTGGAAATACAAAGAAGGAAAAAAAAAACGAGCAGTCAACAGTAGGGACTTTCGACTAAGGCAGAGTTTTAGAAGCCTGAGTTGACCAAAGGACAGTTCAACACATCACATTAAAGGACAGCAAGGAAAACTACAGTTTATCCTTCATACTGATTCAACGGGTCAGGTATTTGGGTAAACTGTAGGTCTGTACAGCTATCTCCCTCCTCCCTTTTATGCCTATTAGATGCTAGGCAGCCCACAGTTAGATAAAAATCTGAGCCCACACCTCTAGGCTTTTACCATCTCCACACATTTTCATAGTGTGTCACTAAGTGCTTATCTCAGTATCTATATTTTACTTGATACTAGTTGCAAAAAAAAAAACCAATTTGCACAAATCTCACCTTAAGTTTCCATTTTCTTGAAGAATCTGCAACAAGTTAAACTGAGATTCTGGCTCTGGTTTTTCAAGAAGCAACTCTCCATCTCCAGTTTTCTTGTCAAGTTTTTTCAGCATATTCTCTTGAGAACTTGCTTTGACCAGTTCAGAGAGTTTTGTCTTGCTTTTCACCTGTGTCCCCGAAAGAGAGCTAGCAGTTCCATCTTCATCTTCATCTGCCTCCTCTTCCTCCTCATCCTCTGTGTCTGACTTGACAGGCAGCTTTGTGGGTTTTGATCTCCCTGAAATAAAGGGGACATACCTGTGTAGGGTTCAAAGAAAAAAAAAGAAAAAAAGGAAGGGTGGAGGGAGACTATCCTCGATACCCACACCATTTGTTAACTCTTACACTCTTTTTTTTCCTAGGAGAGAACATCATCATTTTAGAATAGCCTTTTAAGCATCATTGCACATCATTATTCTGTCCTGCTTTCTGCTTATGTATCAGACTACTAAAAACCTCATTCCTTCAATGTGGTATTTACTGGGAAGAGAATGGCTTCAGAAAACAGCTATTTATAAGGAACTTTCACTTCTGCATCCTTTGAGATTTTTTCTGTATCAGCAGAATTTCTCTTATTCCCATATCTTATTGTCACTGCTGTGTAGGAACTCCAGCATGAAAGCTTCCATATTTTTTGCTTTTCATTTTTATTTTTTGCTTTCTCTGAAAAGCAGAGGCACATACAAATTGCTCATTTTTTGCTCTTAAAAATGCAACTGCAAGCTCATCTTGAAGAAGATAGTGATTACCTTCAGTCACACATTTGATGATATGAAACGGTGGGAATGGAATTCCAGGCACATAAGAAGGCAGGAAGCCCAGAAATGAAATGAAAACAATTAACACTTACAATGAAAGCTATTAACTTTTGCCACTGAAATCCTTTAGGGCCTACAGTAGCCAGAGCTAACATAATTCAAACAGACTTCAGATGAAAAAGGTCTTGCTTGCTCGTTTCTAACTGAGTGTCTGCACTTTAAGCCATGCCTACCTGACAGTCTTGTCCGTGCCCTTCGTGCCTTGCCGTGGCATCGCCTGCGCTTCCGTAACTCCAGCGAAATAAGCTTCCTCTCATACAGGAGAGCATTCGAGTCCACAGCTTCCAACTTCATATCCAGCTTTCCATTAAGAACTGCTCTAGGAAGCATAATACACAGGCAACTTCAATCCCACACTTACTTCTCTTTGATGATCTAAGAGTTCTACTGTGTTTAGTAAGAAGAAAAAAAAAACACTTTTCCTGACAGTGATGAAATATTACGATCAGTTTAACTATCTTGCATGTACAGGCTATAAATGTTTGCATATCCCCAAACTCATGTATCTAGCACCATGCTTTCATGACTAAGCAGCTTTTATTCAATATGCAGTAGCTCAAGGCATAATTAGTAAGGAAGCTTGAACAAGGCTCTAGGATTACAAATGGATGAAGAGAAGACAGAAGGGTGCACATGGACCCGAACCCAGTCTTGGGAACCTTCAGCTTGTTCTTCATAGTTAGGTCAGAAACAAGAATTTTATTTTAGCCCAAGTGAAAAGGGACAACCTTTCTATGATTTCTGTCTAAATCAAGGAGAAAGAAGTCCTACCATATTCCTCAGAGGAGACAAACATAACTTTATCATTGAAGGAAGATCCAGCAAATGGCTCCTTACAGTGTAAGTATTCACAGAAACCTCATTTTCACTCATCTTTCAGATTCAGAATAGTGATTATGTGTGTACATGAAGCCCAAAAGACAGATGCATTATAGACTCTTAAGAGAACACACACAAGAGGCTCACTAATATGGCAGAACTATCAGTTTGCCCAAGAGGAGCAGCACTGAGATCCAACCCAATATAACTTAAGCTCTCCAAAGGCTGGAATGTTCTTTGTTCACAGCATTTATTTTGCAGAAATGTATGTGAGGGGTAGGAGCAGCACAATGTTTTCCTTATTTTGATGAGTTTCTCAGAGAATAGGGACTTGAGAGGTAAGAACACATCAATGTAGGGTAAATCCTAAAAAATACAAATCATTTATTTTAGAAGCCATTTAAAAGGTCTCCCAACGATCAAGCCTTTTTTTCAGTCTTGCCCCTGCAAAGGAAAAGGGCAATAGGGCACCTTCCATTAGGCCTCCAGGGTCTTTCACGCATAAAATGAAAAGCCCAAATCCAGACTCTCTTGTGAATTCTATCTTAAAGGAGAGTAAAATGGCTCCTAAAGAGGAACTCTGAGCAGCTTGCTCACTAGACACTTGTGAGACACTTGCATGTGAGATAGACACTTGCATCCATCTAGCTCAGATTGGAGTTTGCCTCTAGAAACATTCCCCAATTTATACAAGAAAAGAAAAAAATTACAGTGCTGTTCCAAGAACTTCTGTAAATAGTATCTCCTTCTCAGTCAATATGAACCTCACTCTACAGTTACTTTATCACAGAACTCAAATTTGAAGAGAAAAAAAAATGAAGCAGGGAGCCCTAAACACATAGTGAAAGATGCTGCAAACAACACTCATTTGAAATTTGACTATGAACATAAACTGCTATTCCCACCAAAGTGCTACCCAGAGAGGCACCAAATCAAATCCTGCTTGCACGGGTCAGGAGGGAAAAGGCAAGGATAAGAAAAGCTTGGGAATAAATTTCAGTGCTTGCTTAAACAGGAGGAAAAGCTCCAATACGACTATAAGCTTTTAAATCAAAAGTATACAAGGACCTTCAACTCCAAACGAATATAGGTGCTTGGAGGCTTTTCATATCTATAGTCTCCTCTTCCCTACCAGTGGCTCCCATTGCCCTTTTTGCTCTTGCCCTAATTGCAGTGGGAGAAGCATCCACTGCCACTGACATAGTAGAAGAGAGATGGGCAACTGCTTCTATCCTTCTAAGTCACTAGCAGGTGTTAACAGTATTGGAGGAGTGAGGGATAAGTATTTTTCATGCTGCCTGTGTCCCTTGCCTCCCTCCCAAATCCAACAGCTTTCTACCTGTCCTGAAACAGCCGTGTAGCCAACATGTAGTTCATCGTTGTCTTGTGCTCTAGGAAGGATCTAGAAAAACAAAATACAGGAGAGATCAAGGCAGAGCTCAACAGAGGCGAGGGCAGCATAATATAGGAAGAAGTCACCTATAAAAAACATCTCAGAAGAAATAGGTTCAGATAAAAAGCTGTATCACGAAAGAGGAAAGAACAGGAGCTGTCTCTTCGCAGCTAAGCTCACATTGAGGCAAGAGAAGAAAGTACACAGCATGTACAACTCCAAGAGGTGAAAGCAAATAGCAGAAATGAATAATTTAAGGTGAATAAACTTTTGTTCTGACAGAAAAGCAGCACGAAGAGCTATGAAATTACATTTAATAACCTCCTCTGAGGTGCTGTTAGGGAGGTTTAAAAATTATCAGGGAAAAGCATCCTCAGCACAAAGAATACACTGTAACCTTAAACAAGAATTGTGCTATGCTTCTCTAATTGTTAATCTAGTTAATCTACATGGATCTACAAAGAATATCCTTCAAGACAGAGAATCAGTGCAACACTGAGCCATCTTATTGGAGACTTATTATTACCCATAAAGATCCCATGTTGATGGGGTAGGGAATATTCGGATGAAACCTCCTCTCCGCTCATTCTCCTCTCTCACGCGACGAAGAACTTTTATCTAGGAACAGAAAGAAAACAAAAAAAGCTAGGAAAAAAAAGATACAATACACCTTGAAACAGCAGGTGAATTCCAGAGAATAAAAAGCCTATTTATGGCAGTCCCAGGAATCAGATGTGTACGCACAACATCCACAGGCAATTTCACCTCCTACTTAAGATTCTGGAAGAGTCTACCACTGCTTAGAGTGCAGCAGTGTATGCTTGGCACGACTGAGGACAAGGACAGTACTAGCAGTAAAATTCGGCAGTTTTGTCCAAACAAATTTGCCATTTTCTAAATAGATGCCTTTTTTTTTTTTTTTCCTTTTTGTACACATGCACTTGCTCTTTGCTGAATAAATACACCCACAGACTGCTTAAAAAGCCAAAGCAAATATAAGATGTATAATATCTACTTACCTCCTCCATGGAGAGGCCCAGCACAGAGCTGCCTTGCCTTCCTGTGGCTTTCTCCCTGCCTGAGGGCACCAGGTTTTTCATTTCAGCATCACTGGCAGACAGGGGACGGGCACGCTGTAGAGACAGTGTGAATCCAGATTTTTCCCTTTTTTTTCCCTCCCCCCTCTCAACTTATTACAAAAGTGACATTGAAATGCCAAGCAATGCCAGGCCCTCATACCCAGCACCACCTACTCTTTCGGGTATTAGAGCCAGAACTCACAGCCAGCTACTGAAGAGCCCAATCCCCAGCAGGCACTAAGCCCCAGGATTCACATTCCGAGTTTTTAGCCCAGCAGAACTCACACCTGAGGAACCAGTGCTGCCATTCACACCCACAGCCCCTCCAGAAAAAGCATATGCAGATCCACAGCCAAAGGGCTCTGGAGCCAGGGTTTACACCCAAAGGTCCCAAGTACAGTGGCATCCACCCCTCAAATGCACCAGACCTATGATTCTGTCCCAGCTGTGTTGACATACTAGAAAAATAGACTGGTAGTTCACTGATGAGAAAATAGCAAGAAAAAGATGTATATATATGAAAGATTCAATTCACACCCCTTATACTTATTCTTTTGTTACTCTGTTGCCAGATCACAAATTACTACTACTTGCACGGGACAGACATGCAGATATATAATGGAAATTTGCACACATGCAAATCTAGAAACAAGGGAAAAAAATAATGTGCAGAAAATCTCTTAAAGTGTTGTCCTAACCAATTATAAGAACGCACAGGACTTCAAAGCATCTCTGCATTAACAGAATTATAAAAATTGTCAAGATCCCAACAATACTGAAATCCTTGCACACGTTCTCAGAGCGCTTTCAATGGGCGTAGGCTCAAGTTCACATAAACTGCCTTTGTAAAAAGAACATTAAAAGGATTTAAGCTCAGAAGATCCCCTGCCTTTATATAACATCAAAACACCCTGTTAGCACCATACTGAGCTAAGAATGTAATACAAAATCCTCTCAATCTAAAAGCAGAGGAAAAAAAACACAGCAGAAACTTTGTCGGGAAAGTCTGGTGATATATTTCATAGTCCTCAAATTCAAAGGATACTTAGGGAGAGCTTAGGTTGAATCTTTACTTTTAAGGACCATGTGAATGGGAACTGAATTGCAGTCCCATACGCCTCATTAGACCCTGCAAGTAGCTAAACAGAACCTGCAGGTTAAGCAACTGCAAATGCAACAGGGATTATACTAGAACAGGCTACGTAGCAGTGACTGACATAGTGAAAGCCAAGCAGCAAACTGATGTAGCAGGTGCCAACTGAAACATTTTGCTAAGCCTAATGAAAACTGAATCAGTAAAACAAAGGAAAACTGTCTAGATGACCTGGGAGGCACAAGTATTTTCAGAAAAAAAAATCATTAGTAGTCAGGCAGGTTTGCATGATGCTCTGCATAGACTTAAACTGAAAACCTTTTAATTTTTCTTCCAAAATTTGCTCTTACAACTGAAGCAGAACCCCAAAACTTTGTTTTAACAACTTCTAAATTCTCTAAGTAACCTCTGTTTAAGGGTCTGATACCACCATTAGCAACCACATGAGAATTGTTGCTCAAGAGAATGCTATAGGACATTTTTTCATCTTATCAGATGATCTCCTTATTTAATGAAAAACTTCAAAGGTTTCTTGATTGTTTTGATACAAACAGGAAATATATGCCTATGTATCAGCAACCTGGTACTATGACTACAGAAGCTCTGGCTCCCACCTGGGAATAAACTACCATCAAAATGCTAAAGGAAAAACTCTTATTTTATTGAGCTTCCTACACAAAAAAACTTTCTTCAGTGGTTCCCTGCAGAATTCTCTCCTGCTATAGCACAGAAATGTCTCTTGCTTCACAAAGTTCTTGTTTCCTCCTTGACCCAGCTTATCTTTTAAAAGTACAGATAAATCCCACTACTTTGATTCATCTCCAAATTCTGCAAGCCTCTCTGGTTCCCACATCACGATTCTCAATACACAAATCACTGACAGCACCTATCAGAAAGATCCCTCCTATTTTCTATGAAACCTCATTATTCAGTTATAAGTCTGGAAAAGAATCTATTTTCTCTGAACTGCAGCTGAACTTATACAAAAGGACATAAATGGCAGCCCATAAAAGGAATTAAGCTCTCTAGGTGATTCCATCTGTCCTACCTTCCTTCCTGCTGGGAAGCTCCACAAAACGGTAACCTCTGTAATGCCAGCGTGTGAAGCCCAGCAGCAAAATGCTGTCTGCTGTGTCCTTGCACAGCCAGGTGCTTCTAATTGCAAACTCACACCAACTTGTCCATATGGCTTGCAAGAAGGGTAGGCAGATTTGACTTCTAGAGAAGCTGGATCAGTTCAGCCTGTTTTAAGGTATGCAGTTCTACTTTAAGTCCTTTTTTTCATCCTCTCCAGTTACTGTTCCAAATGATGCTTGAATTTTTCAAGCTTCCTTCACAGGACTATTTTACAGACAGTAATTACTCCTCTTGATGCCTCACATGAATTTTGCCAATAGATTCACTGGTGTTATCCTCTTTCATTAAGACTTTTTCCATACTCCATAGTACACAGAAAATTTCTTCTTCCTTCCTTTTGCTAAGTGACACTCCTCTCCTGCTTTCATCAACTCTTCCTTTACTTCTCTGCTTTGCCTTTCAATGACCAACCTGAACAGTATGAACAGTACACGCTGTGCTGCCACTGTCTTCATCTTCTGCTAACACGGTGTCAACTTGATTTTTAAAAACCTAAACCAAACTTATTCAAAAACACCTGCAGGTTTAAGAGCATCAGAGGCTTCACCCAGCTGATCCGGCCTTTCAGCAGACCTCTTCTAATTTTTCATTCTTTTCAGGTTGCTAAAACTGATGCTAATGCCTATCTAATCTTCTTCCTGCACAAGGTAATATATTCCACACCCTATTCACCTTTTTTCTTGTCTCCTGCTTTTCCCTCCCAGGCCACTCCAGGCTACTTAGTTACATATGTATTTTGGGATCAGTTGTGTCAAAAGTATCGTACGTAATAACATCTGAAACAGCATCCTGTGCACTGGTAGAGGGAGCTGAATAAAGCCCAGGACTTACCAGTTTGGTGTTTAAAGCCCAGTACTTACCAGTCTGGTGTTTGTTGGTCGGGACTGCGCAGACACAGGACGCTACAAGAGACACAAAAAGGGAATAAAAATCCTGTGTTCTTCAAGCCACTATCATCCCTGCCTGAGCTCCAGAGAAGTGGCGAGTGCCCTAAAGCAGAAGGGTAGAGCTACAGTGCAGAGAACTAGCTAGCAGCCTCTATCATGTCATTGCAGATCCTGCTCCACAGATCCTCCATAAGTGCATCCTGTCCCCATTCCCGACATGGCATTAACCCGAAACCCAGATGTGCTCCACAGTTCAGAATGCAGCTGAACAGAGACATGATTTTTAGGAACACACAGCTCTGCAGGAGGGTGAATGAACTCTACTACCACGACCAAAATGCTTAATTTTTTTTGTATGATAAATATTTTCCTCTAAGTGTAACTCTATTAAAGAGAAACAGATGCTGTCAATTGAATTGTTAATAGAACAGAGGAGAAAAATAGTAAAAATTCTGAAATTCCAGAAGCCATTTCCTTTAAACATCTCAACAATAGCCCAGTTCTAGTGGAGAAATGCTATGTTACTATAACATTCAAGTGCAAGTGCAGAAACAAACAACAGAATAGCAAGAAACAGCCTGTATTACTTAGTAAAGATTCATTTGGCATCAAGCCTATAAACAAGACCAACTCAATAGTAGGGGTAGGTTCAAAAGAAAACTATTATCATAAGAGTTTAGCTTCTTCTTGCATTTGGTGGTAGCCAGGCTGCCTTCCTCCTCTCCAATGCCCAAGAGGAGCAAAGGGCATAAGAAAGGACCCTCCAGAGACCTATCTATCATTTTTAGTTGTATTACAGCCAAGCTCTTCTCTACAGCTAGTCTTTAGAAAATAGGCTGAGATCCCTTTATTGCTTATGATTAAATGAAAGGGCTTCCGTCCAAATCAACAATATGTTACAAAGGAAGCAGCTAAATTGTTTATATCTCCAGAGGGTCCTGGTGATCTGAGAATCAAACCAGAGAAATTGCACAAGGAACTGGCAGTCCGCTCTGGACAGTAACTCAGAAACAGAAGTCACTACAACGATCTCACGACCAAGAACGTTTCAGGATGCGTTTCTCAGGAAGTGACTTTTCCACAGATTAAAGATGGCCTCTGTGACAAATTAAACTTAAAACATCATGGAGTTAAACAAGACATTCAAAAGTACCCTTTGCACTGAAAGTGGGAAAATTATCAACAATTCAATGCAACTTGAGATAAAAGGAATTCAGCAAAGAACTAGCCAAAAAATACTGAACTATGGAGAAAGCTTTACACTCATTTACCCACAAGCTTTCCATTTAGCCACTAAAAAAGCTCTAAAACTTGATCACCATGTTAGAAATGTAAAAGAAACATAGGTGATGAGGAGATATGTCCCAAAAGAGTAGCCCTATTTCCTATCTACTGCTTCCTAACATGAAATTTAGCTTTTAAGCAAAAATGATCTACAAGTTAAAGGGGTCCACAAAATGCAATTCTTCCTAACTGTTCAATTCTCTAAACTTTATTTTCCCTGAATATTTCCAAAGAGTCAAAGAAAACAAACAAAACTGCTCCAAGAAAGCTAATCATTCTTTTTAGAATGGTGTCTGATTTATCTTTTACCTTTTACATGTCATAGAGACCTCTTTGATAGTCAGAGATCTGTATGATATTCCATCTCTTAAGCTGGGTTCAGGAGCTGCAGACAGGTGTCTTACAGACACCCAAAAGTCATCTTTGTCAGCACATCTCACAGTGCTTCCAGGTTCTGAGTTTTACAAGAAAAGGGTTACAACTTGTATGGAGATTTCCGTGTGCTACAATGGATACTGTGCTGTTATTCTGTCACTGAGCAAAAATGAATTTTCATTTCCTATTTGAGTTGACCTCAACACCAATGCCACATACCACTCACAGGAGCACATGCACTGTATGTAGAGAGCTGGGATATAGTCACTGGCACTAAAAAGCTCGATTCAGGATACACTTCTTGCCTATCTGTCTCATAAGAAATGCCTTTGAACAAACAAATGAAACAGGGGATCTCCCTGCCACTTGCAGGTGCTCCAGCATTACAGATATTTATGGGATTTATCCAGTAGCCAGAAAGAGACAGAGGAACAGCTGCCTTTAAACATTACAGTGCTAATAAAGCAGCAGAAAAAGTAATGGGTTGTCACAGCAAGTCGCGTGAGGCCTCAGTCCAAGGAACCAGGGGAAGGGATGACTGTAGGAGGAAAGAAAGTTTAAATTTCAAGTGCAAAAGCACCTTCTCCTTCAAAAGAAGTCTCAAGCATATTCATAAAGCTATAGGGTTCTGGAAGCTAACTGCCCACAACAAAATGCAATTGGCTGAAAAGCCCCTAACTCAGCTGCATTCATGAGTCTATTCTCACGTACTCACGTTCGAAGTCCAGAGCACCTCATTCACTCCCTGTGCTTCTTGGTGTCTTTGAGGCAAACTGGCTGAAAACAGCTTTCTTGCTGTTCTCCTCAGCTCTGCCTTACTCAAGTCACTTACCTGAGGCTTCTGGTACGGATTTCTCCTGACAGATTCAGATGAGGGATAAACTGCCCGGCTTGACCGCTGGCCTGGGTCCTGGCATACAAAGCCTGGAGGGGATCAGGAGCCACATGAGAACTTGTAAAGACAGAAAAACCCTGAAATATAAATCTCAGATTTCTGTTAATGATGTAAGCTTACGTATGGCCCTCCTGTCTTTGTCCAAACCCCCAAAACCCTAAGATTTCCTTTCTTTGCTTTTTTAAAATTCAAAGTTTGCACACTGCATTACGTTTCAGGAACTTGCTTCAAAACTAAGTACTTCAATCAATAAGATGGGCTGCTGAGTAGCAACACAGAGATAAACTCCCTTAAACAACTAAGCAGCAACTTGATGACAGCTCTCTCTCTTTTAGGGTAAAAAGATAAGTTGCTCAAGTAACTGAACCAAGGAAAGTCAAGTGGCTTTCAACATCTTGACTCATCTTCTACAAAGCCTAACAAGAAAATCCACACAGTCTCATCAGTAATTCACCTAGAATGATTGGTGACCGGGGAAACAAAAAGGCAGAAATACAAAGTGACTTCATAAAATTTCCACACATTAAGTGCAGCTGCTCTCTAACCCTAATTTTCCTCTATTACACTAAAAAAACCCAGTGTCATAACTTAATACAGCTTTCCAAGCACTGTCTAACATGCAGCTCAAACATACCTTTTATTGGCTTTAAATGAGGTAAAGATTCAAGCAGCTTTTTGTCACACTCACCTACAAGGGTGAACATATCTGACAGCATGCTAGCTTTGATCTTCAGGTCCAAAGGAGCATCACTATCCCCACATGGAATAAAGGACAAGAGGAATTACTTATCCGGTATGAAATGAGAGGACTGTATCAATACCCAATGCTTTCCAATGTATTTTCTTTACATTGGTCCTTAACATGAACATCACAGAACACACAAGCACCTGGGTGACTAATATACATGGGCAAACAGCAAATGGCAAAAGACTAATCTATTTCTGTTTATAAATAGGGTATCCACTGATTTTATCTCTTCTCAAAGATTTACTCTACAAATTCAACATGTACAGCCTCGATTCTGTTCTGCTTGACCAGAAAAAGAATTATTTAAATGCATCTATACTGCATTTTATGGATTAGAAGATTGTCACGTAATCTTTATAAATCATCATAAAATCATCATAAACCATCAGGGTTAGCTCTGATGCATAAGGACAAATGATAAAAAGTGATAGATACAGAGATATCAGACAGTGGGGCCAGGCAGAAAGCACACTTATTTCCATCCAGTGGGGAACAACAACGAATAGAGTTAAGCCAGATAAGCAAAGTTTGTTTTCTTCACAGCTGAGAAACAAGCCCTTTTCTACGGCACAGCGAGAAAGACACCAACAACTGGCATCAAGGTTGGCAATCATAACCAAAGGGAGCAAAGGATGCAAACATGAATTAGCTCTAAAGTCCCTGGGTACACATACGAGCGAGAACCAACAAACCAAGAAATTAAGTGTTGTGGAAATATTCTCATTTCAACTGAAAGAAAAATGGGTCTTGTGGAAGCTGCAGCTTTGAGCTAGAAATGTGCACAGAAATCATTTGAATGCAGGATAAAGACAGAAGTACCAGAGATGGCTATTCCAAGAATATATGTGTAATCTGAAGTTGATTAATACTGCAATATCTTTGAGATATCACTTAGGCACATTATAAAAATGTATTCTACATCTACACTCTCACAAAGTTAAAGTTTAATCCAGAAAATATTTGTCTGAGCCTTTACAAAAAGAAATCCTGAAGTTTCATTAGAGTTTGAGGTCAGAGCAAGGGCCAAGAGGGCACCCACGCTATGGGTTTTACAGGAAGACCAGAAGTCTGAGCACAAGCTTGCACCTCTACCCTCCAGTCTAGCATAATGCCTGAGCAGTGCTTTGACTCCAGAAATCTTAAAGCATCTACTGGGCAAGAGGATTGAAACCCAACACAATAGTCTGGAGAGCTTCAGAATTTGCCTATGATGGGAGCTTGATGCAGTGTTAACAATGGTGATGGACTGTGGAAGAGAAATAATTAAAAGGAAAATGGAATCCCAACTGGGTTCTTTCAAAACCTATTGCAGCAATGAGCTTGTTTACGCAAAGGGAAAAAGAAAGGACTGTCCTCTCTGTCAGCTCTTAGCAGTGCAACAAATACTCGCACGCCTCACGAAACCATGTCCTCCTAGGAGCACACGTTCCAAAGACAACCATATCCAGCAACAGCTGGACTAAAGTCTTATGAAAACCCTCTTATGAAAGCAGGAATCACTTACCAGGCCAGCGATGGGGATAAGTTCACTTCCAAGAGCCAGGGCTTGAGAGTGGCATCAATAAGGACGTCAAAACCATACAGCTCTGAAAAGACAGCAAACACAGCAAATTCAACCAGCGACACCTTTAGGTGTCCAGGCTGGGTTCAACACAGGTCTCTATCAGGTAATTTCTCTTTCTCTTTTCAGGTACTTTATCTCACTTATGCAAAACCCAGTGAATTCTCTAGGACCGAATAAATAACGACACTCCACAAGTAAGGAGTTTCTATCCCTAAGAAGCAAGGTTAAAATAATACTGCTTGTGGGGAAAAGAGAAAAGCAGAAAGTGAGTCTTAAGAAAATAATCATATAGAAAAATAAATTCGAAGGAGAAAGAAAGATCAAAGAGAGAAAAAACAAGTACTCTGTCATGGGCAAACTTCAGAACTCAGCTAGCTTGACCTCCACATAGAATTGTATAAGAACAGCAAGTCCACGCTGATCTTTCCTATGGGTCCTGGAAACAAAGGAACTTCATACTCCATTTGCTTAATCTCTATTATTCATTGCTCCATGTAGGTATGGAGAATATTCTGTCTTTCAGCTATCTGCTGCATCCCATCTATTCTCACATATTTTTTCCCCTGCAGAATCACCATAGGCATAAAAGAATCTTCTCCTGTGCAGCTCCGTCTGCACACCCGGCCTCCCATAACTTTTTATTACATTTATAGTTTGCCATTTTGCAACACCTCAATTGAGAATTTTTTTCATTAGCTCCTAAAATGCCCGTCTCGTTCATAACATAATATGTTTGCTAAATGTACTGTGCCCTACACAGGTCTCATGGAAGCCAGCTTCCCATTCTAGGACTGATTTTATTGTTTCACTCCATACAACACATTTTCTCTATTTTGGGATAGAATCGCAAGAAGGATGATGCTACACAAAGATGACTGTAAATAGGAAGTTGGCATCAACGCTGAAAGAGGGAATTGCATTAAGAAACATTATGTTCATCAGCACAACTTGTGCACATATTTTCAAAACCGGGTGTTGGCAGAGAAGAAGGATTTCCATAGAATTAACCAGTTCCCTGGTGCCTGCAGCGAAGACAGAAGAATTTCTTTGCCAGGCTGCTTTCCTTAAGTTGTGGCCCCTGTATTTTGTTCCCCCGTGACATTCAGGGAGCTGGACTGCTTGACAAGATCTCCCTAGGCCAGACACAGCTGTGCAGCTGTGTGCGAGCTCACGTAGCTTGTGGTGGGAAGCTAGTGGGCTGTGGGGGTGACTTGGAAGGGAAGGAAAGGGCAGCAGAGTTGGAGAGCGTTGCCTGCTCACTCTCCTGAACCCTGCAGCCAGACAGGGAGTGGGAAGGAAAATATCAGAGAGTTAAACAGTTGGTTCACTCCAAAGAACGAGGCTAAATCTACATTTGGCTGCAGAGGAAGAAAAAGGAAGGGGTGGGGATTCTGAGTGTAAACATTAGCAAAGCATTTTGAACAGCAGAAATCTCTGATAATTTTAATAATATCACTTCAAAAGATGATCCCATGTTTAAGAGAAGAGCTGTGGCTCCGAGCAAGCTCAAGCGGGCAGGCTGCTCACCCCCCAGGCTGAGGAGCACCGAGGGGCTGTGACCCCCCAGCCGCAGGCAGGAAGGAGCATTTTGTTTTGACTAGTTGCTGCTTCTGCTGCTGGTCATTCCAGCCCTCTGCCCTGCTGAGACCTTTGCTAAGAATTTTGCTCTTTAAGTCTCTCATCCCCTCCCACACCGTCTCCCTTCCCGTTCACTTGTTTTTTAAACCTCCCTTTTTCCCACCCCAGCAGTCCTAATTACTCACTGCCTGTCCTCATTACCGATGTATCCGGGAAGCTCGTGGACACTGGCTAGCCCTGTCCCCTCACCATGCTGCTGGAGCAAGACATTCCTCTCCCTTGCACCCGCCGTGTTTATTGGGACCGTAAGCTCTCAGGAGAAGCCACTTGGGCTCCATTCAGCTGCCAAACATCTCGTGGCATCTGCAACACTCCAGGATCTCCTCCTGGCCTCCACTGACAGGCTACAAGGCACAGATCTCTCACACATCCAGGCTCTTAACCGCAGATCTCTTTGCTACCCAGGGACATCTAAAAGTGATACAAGATTCAAGGTCCCATTCAAAGTCTGGCAATTGCACCAAGCCTTGCAGGTACTTACATGGAGCTTAACCCAAGCAGGACTTCCAAGTCCGACCAGGGTACTATAACACAAGTAGTTTGAATGACAAGCTATAAAACTTTTATCCCAGAAAAGTCTCCCTGACCTTCTTCATGTTTGGAAAATTAGTCACCTAGATTAAGCACTGAAAAGGTAACCTTCCTACTGCAAAACTCCACCTTCATTTGTAAAAATAAATAAAATCTCCAAATTGCATGTAGGCAGCACAAAGATGTACAGTTACACAAGTATGATAAAGATCAGGGCGATCAGAGTCTCTACAAATACCACCTCCAGCAAGACTATCATTTCCCTCTGTATGGAGATGGATGAAACGTTAAGGAGTGAAACAGAAATGCATTCTAGCCTCTCTCCTCAAATGCTAGCAATGGTAGGTTTGTGACAGCCCATCTTGCAACACTTATTATTAAGGAAGAATGGAAGAGACCAAGATGAAGCTTTTGCAGGGCCTTCTCTTGCTACTACAATTCACAAAAATATGTTTCATTCTTGCAGATTGCTTAAGAGGGTGAAATTATATCAGAAAATAGTGACTGTTGCCAAGACTCAGCAAGGACAGCCACTTTGCTCCCACTGTTGCAGAAGTCACTGCTGACAGAGCTGCCCAGTCCTCCCAAGAGGAGTGCTAGCTCCAGGCTCCAATCCAACAGCAAGAGGTCAGCCAGCCAGCCCACTGATGCCAGTGTCCTTAGTTAAGCAGTAAGACGAAGGCTAGAGACGTGCTCTGAAGCTTTTTGGTGCTGGTCAACTACCACATGCAAGCCTGGGTTACAGTCATGTCAAAGATGGCACCAGCAATCGGCTTTAGCGGATTCTTTAGGGATATTTACTATTCTCTGTCAGTCTAGCAGCTAAGTCACAAGCAACAGTCTGTATTGCAAACAATGTTTTTATGATTTTCTCAAAGAATAAATAATGCTGGAAGGGTTAGTGTAATTTGGGTCTTTGTCCTCAGCTTGTTCACTGAGGATCAGCTTAGATGATGCTTTTCTCTACCTACCCTCTCCCCACAAACAAATCCTAATGACAAAAGACATATTTTGCCATTAAATGGGCGCAAACCTGAGGCTATAGTGACATATATAAACCTAAAAAAAAAAGCTACATAGCATGCATCTCTTCTGCTTTTGCAGTAAATGGACTGATTTTGAGTAGTGGCACATTTAAAGACATGCTTAGTGCAAGAAACCACACTTTTAACACTTTTTTTTCCTTTTCCCCTTAACGCTTCTAACCTACAAAGCTGTTCCGCAGTACATGCTTATAATGACAACACACATCAAGAAATTAAGTTACAAAACTTACCTGTGCTACAAATTCATCCAAGCAGCAACTATGCTGTATAAGTGAGAAAAACTACTACAACTAGTGATAAAAGAAAATGCAGCTTAGTTAAGCACACTGTCAAGCCTAAGGTTTCAGAGACTGCATTTCACATTTAAATCAATAAATTTCTAGAGTTCCCACACTGGAATACCTTTGCCTCCTCGGGAATAACGCGTTTGCCCCTCAAGAACAGACAGCAGAATATTCTCCCTTTATTATTCGGCCCTCACACTGGCATTTTCCACACAGACTAGGGCCAGAGGTCCGTACCTGTATTTGAACAGGGGCATCACCAGCACCTTCTATACACAATCACAGTCTCCTCTTCCCCCTCCTTTAGCAGAGTGACTCTACCCTGTCTGAAAATGTGGCTGAATCATGGGCCATGTCAGGCAGATTCAGGAGAATTCTTTGAAAAAAAAAAACTCGTCTTCTACCAAAAGGAAGAGCCAAGGATGTGTCCAGAAGCAGTACATAAGTGAACCAGTGACCAACCCTGCTTAGACCTAAACCATCTTCCTGATTTGATTGAAAGCTACTGCCCAGAAGTATCAATTGCAGAACAATATAAATCAAAGGAATGAACACTTTGTCACTGGAATTAAATCACAATTTGTTTGTTTGTTTTCCAGTGTTTTTTGGTAAGTCTGTTTTTAAAAAGCATAGGGGATAGGATCACAGAACTTCAAAGTTCTGTGATCCTAGTTCATCCTAGAATGAAATTCCCACCAAGTTCCTACTCGAGCAATTATATTCTACTCCATAAGTTTTCTCCAGTCTTAATTGGGACATTACATTTCTCTTCCTTTACATCTGAGAAAAAGCAAATATAATGCACAGAAAACACTTGGGAAAGGAAGGAAGCACCACAGCAGGAGATCTAAACTGTTAGAGGAAAAAAAGTGGGCAGCCTGATCTAAACAAACAAGAACCCGTGAGTTAATTTAAAAAAAAAAAAAAAAAAAGTGGAAATTGTACTGGTGTCCGGCCCTCCCTCATCCCCAACAGCATTACAGGGACTGGAAAAGAAAATACATCAAGTTACTCGTGTTCTTCTAGAATATTTCCAACCAAGATCTTCCTCTGTATCTGAATTCTAGATATAGGTTTCAGAACTCGGATAGTTTTTAAATGATGGATCTCCCAGGGGATCTCTGCAGTTTCATTGTTCACAGCCCAGTAAAAGGGAAAACAACAATAAAAAAAACACATAGGCTCTTGGGAGGCTCCTCATGATGCCTTGAAATCTTCACTCCCAGTTTTCTCCCTGTGCTCATTCACAGGAACAGCTACAAATGCAGCCATTCTGAGCATTTCCAGCTAGAAAAAAAGCAGCCTTTTCACAACAAGGTTAAAAGTGGCAAGGCCAAAGAGGGTCAGAACAAGACACAGGGATCAAGAATGAGCCAGAATGACAAGGACAGCTCAAATGCCTGGGACAAGGACCACCACTTAATTGTGGGGGAAGGTGGAGAGCACTGGGCTCTGGGAATGCTGCTGGTTCCCTAGGGAAGCAATGTGGCTCCTACTTAAGCTCTCTTTCCTGGGAAGCTCTTAATTCATGTTTACACTGAAACAAATGGAACAAAACAGTTTATTTGTGGGGGAGCATCTGAGAGGGTGGTTAGTACAGCCCTGGGGAGGCAGCAGGAAGTGGGATAACCTCAAAGCCAGGCCCAGCAAAAAGTACATGAGGAACATCAGTTTCCACATAAGCAGCTAAGAGGAAACTAGAGACAACTGAGAGGAAAGGGGAGAAACAAAACAGAGGCAGTTAAGGGTTTTTTGGTTTTGTTCTTAATCCAGTTGTTGATATTCTTAGGGGGGCTACTGAACTGCTACTTCATTAGAAGCAATTATCTAACTTACAACTCTCCATCTATGCCAAAGTACTCCAGCTCTGAAAGAGTTGGAGGCATCAGAGCTGCTTAGCACAAGGTAAGGCCAGCGAGGTATCAGGCAAGCAAACAGTGCATCAGCCATGGCTCCTCCTTGGATTCTTCAGCAAGTCTCACGACCCCTGAGAATTCAGTGATGACAACACTCATGCCAGCATGGGGAAAGCTGCAGGACTGCAAAGCCTCAAGTACAAAGCAAGGACCACACAAATAGATTTACCTGTCACAGTTTAAATACAAGTTCCTCCCAACACTTAAACACACGATAGTCTAAGTTAAGGTTGGTCACTGGTTTAAGCACCAACTATTTGAGGCTAATTCACAGATTTGCTTGGAGACTCCTACCTCACGTGTGTATTTGTGTGTGCAGAGGGCAGCTAAGAGCAGGAGGAGGCCGCTTTAGGGAAGGTTGGGAAGCAGCCACTGGCGAGCAGGGGAAGGTACACGGTGGTACCAGCCGCTGCTTTCTGGAGCGCTTCCCAGCGGCTGCTGCCAGCGAGCTCTCCAAGCCCTTTGCCAGCACATTGTTCTGCAGGCAGCTCCCAGCAGAACTGGCCTTCGACGCCGCCACGTGGCCTTCTCACACAAGCACAGAACGAGCTCCCAGCGCTGTCCTTGCAGGCCCTTCCTTACTCATTCCTCCCTACTCCTCGGACAAAGGGTACAATAATCCAGTGCTACGCTGAGTTGTCTAGCCCAACAGCAAGTACCAAAGGCTCTGAAGGGATGTTTAAATCAGTTACCCTTTGCAAGGGCACTTGCGGGACTGTTACTTTAACTTCCCAATACTCCCCAAGGCCCCTTTTCATCATCCCCTTTTCTAGCATCAGACTCTGATAGATGACACCTGTACATCACAGATCCCTGAACCTCAGAGGAACCTATAGTGAAAGAAAGGAAATCAACACTGATCTGTAACACTGGAAAGCTGGAAGCTGCAAGCAGCACTTAAGAACTAACCAACGAAGATGCCCCCAGTTCCTTACCAAAGCAGCTGCCGCGATGGGAAAGAAAAGTTTTACAGGCTGCAGCAATGAACAGCTCAGCAGAAAGCACAGTCTTGATAATCAGGTCCTCCACACTGGCCATCAGTGCTGCAAAGGGGAAGGGGAGAAGAAAAAAAGAAAGTGGACTGAGAAGCAGCACTGAATATCTAGAAAAACATGAATATATGAATATGGAAACACATCCTTGTGGATCAAAGCACTTCAGAGCCTATGCATAACAAAGCCATAATGTTTAGATGGAAATCCATGCAAGCAGGCAGGTACATGCATAAGCATTTTAGTGAAAAATGCTCACAGGTGAGTATGATATAAGTGAGGACATGTATAGGGGAAGTGAGCAGGAACAAGTGGCAAGCACATCAGCACAAGTCAGCTGGAGTCTAATCACACCATCCGGAGTATTAAATAGTGCACTAGGAGATAAACCCTCAAACTACAGGGTACAAGCCAAAGCCACTGAGGTACAAAATAAGTTTTTCTCGTGGATTTTTATGAATTAACTGTTCTGTGATGTTGCACCTTCCTCTAAAGCAGCTGTTCCTCAACTATGATTTACAGATCATCTCCTAATGATATGACTGGGGACAGGACCCTGGCCTGCTGCCCTCCAGGCACTCTGCAGTTTCAGGAAGGAAGCTCTGCCCATCTCCTACGTAAGCCTGAGAGCAGAGCGCAGGATGAGGCAGCAGAGCAGAGGCAGGGAGCAAAAGGCAAGATAAGAGACATATTAGACAGAAACATGGGTCAAACGCTGGGCTTGAGATGAGTCATGCAACACAGAGAGCAACACCCTTAGTTTCTGTGCTCAGGGGCAAATAAGAGAGAAGGGAGAGAGGAAGGGAATGAACCAAGAGTGGAGTCGTAGACTGAGAAGTTAGTAGGGGTGGCAGCACCCTCCCACACTCCTCAAGGGGAAAACGAGCAAACACACCAAGAGCTCCAACAAACCCATGCAGACACTTGGGAATGCTGATCCCAAAGAACATGCAGTACAAAGCACTTAGCTAGGGGGGTCAGTTTAGCTCTACAGTTACTATCTTTCAAGCTCAGAAGACATCATGCAGGGACCTGAGCAAATGCTAAGGAACAGGCAAACAATGTCAGAGGTGAGCTTCTGTGGCCAGGGGAAGCACGGGAATGGCAAAGTGCACATACACATTCCAGAGCACAAGGAACTCGCCAGCTCCGACAGGGCCAGCACTCCTCAGGCAGCATTCTGCTTCCCTACGACCAGAACTAGATGCATCAGAGAAAGGTGCAAGAAGCTTTGTAACAGTTCGCAGTGAAACGTTCTCATTGCTCAGCAGTTAACTTAATTGTAAGAGTGTACATAACACGTTTTGGATTAGAAGGGAAAACAGTATCAAATAACCAGTTGTGTACAACTGATTTAAAAAAAAATGTATGGTGCAAGTGATGGGATAGCCATGCATGCACACGATGGGGAAAAAAAATCTACTTCCATTTGAAAGCCAGATTCAGACCCTTCCTCCACCATCTAAGTGTTCCCTGGCAATATGGGCATAGCTGCTGTCAGTCAGTGTTACTGACAACTCAGTATCACAGGTAGTTGGTTCCTTGAGAAAGGATACACCTCGATTCTGCTCTGCAGCTGCATTTACTCCCAGCAGACCCGGCAAAGGTGTGGAACAGGGAGCTAGTTTATATGAACACAGACTGAAGTGAAAACACTCAGCAAAAAACCTGAGCCATGGAAAGATGACACCACATCCAAGAGTCATTCAAACTGGCACAGTTCTCCAGAGGTTGGTCACTCATCAGACTGAGCAGGCCATGGGAGCAGAAGAGGGAGGGAAGCTTTTAGAAGGGATGGGATGACCTTAAGAAACGGGAAATGTAGGTAAAATATTAAGAAACACACCCTGAGGAAGTCTCAGAACATAATTTGCAAAAAGGAAGGAGGAAGACTCAGCTCTCAGAACAGAGAGCAAGTCCACAGCCCTGGTGAATTAGCTATAAGGAAGAACATTTCTCTCCACCCTGTTCTGACAATAAATGCAACTCACTATGGCTTTTCCCTGACTTTTCTTAATATTCTCACTGGGAGGATGGCTGAGATCCAGCAAAGGAAGAAAACAACAAGATCTCTACTGACCTGCTGTGTCTCTCCCCTCTTGTTTTAAGTACCTCAGCATTGCACTCATGCTCCACTTGTTTCCATAATCCTCTACTTCAGGATCGTCACAGCTAAAACAAACCAAATGAGCAAGCTCACACCACTGGCCTGCCCTGAGGATTGCCAGCAACCACTCATCAGCTCAGGTAAACTGACCCAATCCCCAGAAACCAGGTTCCGTTCTCCAGCCAAGTACCTGACATAATCTCCACTCTTCTTGTTGACACTGTAGTTGGTCAGATGCATAAACTGATTTTTAATGTTCCTGGATGCCTGGTCATACCTCACGGTTGCAAACCTATAAAGAAGAATAAAAGATTTACAGTTTCTTGATAGCATGACATGCCCACTAAACATGTCCTGCTACACAGGCCATTCAATCACACCAGCCAGAAGAAGGGTGCACCCAACAAGATTTCATCAAACGCAACCTCTCCCCAGGAGAATAAATACAGCTTATTCTCTAAGGCCCTGTACAGGTGCACACAGTCTTGCTTAAAGCATCTCCGAGCACAGTGTTCTATTTGTTCTTGTGTGTTTGGGAGTTTTCACAGCCTAACGCTCTACACTTCATGCTAGGATTATTTTTCTTGATTGTTGAGATCTTTGGCCTGCAGACATCCTAGCTGGGCCGCTCAGCTTTGGTCCCTTCAATTTAACGAGACCTGCTTTGAATGCAAAAGCAGCAATGTTCCTCGGAAAGGCACATATATAGAGAGATCATAATATATATGTGTGCTGGAGTCAATACATATTCCCTGAAGTCTCATATGAGCATAGCTCAGTTTTTGTATATGCCAAGAATGCCTTAGGAAAGGTTATGGGTAGAATCAGGTTTGTGCCACCACCAGCTACACAGGGTGCAGCTGGTAACCCTCTTTTCTCAAGAAAGATTCAGGAAACCAGGCACCATCTGGCAGCCAAAGCAAGTCGTCCAAGGGGGCAGCAGCTTCTGCAGGCTGCTGTCATTTGGACACCACTTGAAGAGAGCTCAGCTCTTCCATATCACAAAGACATCATAGAACTTATCTACAACAAAAGGACCAAGGGACTTAAGGAAAGGTTGACCAAATTTTGGAGAAAATACATAAAACAAAGATGAGAGGCAGAATCCAGGACATGCTGTTGGCAGAACTACTTGTATGACCAATACAATCGATCAAAACTGCTGCTGTAACAGCAAATGCTCCACCACAAAAAGTCCTCTCCATTCTAACCATCTTCCCACAGTAAGAACTTAAGATGCCAACATCTCAAAGAAGAAGGAAGAAAGAGAAGTCAGACACAGCATATTCCATGATGCTCCGGTGAAAGGGAAAGAAAGCACCAGGGATGCAGGGCAGGGTCAGATGTAGGAGCAGGACAGTGGGTTCAGTGAGCCCTCAAAGCAGGCAGATAGAAAAAGGGAGGGAGAAAGTGAGGGGAACAAAGAAACACAGTGCAGGGAGCACCTGGCTGTGCATTGACTTCGGTGTCCAGAAAAGAACACACTCCCACCTTTGCTTTAGTAATAGCTACATCTCCTCATCTTTTTTCTACTGCCTTCCATATGGGAAGGAAGCTTTCAGGAAAAACTAAGCTACACAAGAAAATCCAATGGCATGCTACAAAACAAACAAAATCCCACACTTTATTTAGAAAAAAAATCTGCCAAAATCTCATTTCTCAGTGCAACTGAAGCCATTTCTGCCTCCCTTGGTGCCATTCTGAGAATTGTCTTGCTCTCTCCTCCCTTCTCTCCCCGCTCCAGAGCGGCACCAGCAAAGCCATGAGGAGGCACATACAGGTCTTGCATACAGAGGTGGGAGCAGAAAACAAACAAAAAGACTCCATGGTGCAACTTCCAAGCCACAATCAAGTTTTCTGCCAAAGGAGAAACTAACTCATGAGAAACTAACCCTTTTCCTCATACTTCCACATCTCAAAAATATTTGATTTTTTTTTCAATTTAACTGAAAGTTTCCTGGACTTAGCACTTCTGGTTTGAAAATAATGACATGTCCCACCATGCAATTTGTTCTTAATTATAGCTTTAAAATCTCCACTTCATCAGCCACTAATAAGCAGCCCACTCCAAGCTTTTGTTGATACGAGGCTGGCAGCCACATCCTCAGCCCAGAAAAATGAAGGAATTTCGTAAAGATGCAGTATCCTCAATATTGCCAGAGATTTAAAGCGGAGGGTGAAGTCTTCCACCACATTAACCAACATCTTACTGCCTAAGCACAAACATTATCAGCAACCTGAGGATATCAGCACCTGGCAGGCCTAGTCAGTACATCTTATCAGCAGCATTTCACCTTTCAAACGATCGCAGTTTCTTTCTCCAAAGACCTTTCTCCGACACTGGCTTTCAGACAGGATTCTTTCTTTCAAAAACAACAAAGAAAAAGACTTAAGCAGCAGACTCCCATCCCAGCCAAATATATTCTCTGGGAGCTGGTTTGACAACCTTATCGTCCTTATGCAAAACAAAAAGCTGCAAATCCCAAACAGAAAATCCAAATTATTTTAGAGTCCCCATCAATAGCTTTTAAGTGTTAGAATGGTCACAGAACACAAACATAACGCTAGCAAGAGTCTACATCCTCACCTGGTGTTTAGCACTGGTTTAGGACAATATCACTACAGATACCTTTAGCACTCAAAACTTCTATAGCTTTTCATGCTACACATCACTAACCTTCTTGCAATGCAACAAGACAACTCACCTACCATATTTCATCTGTCCAGGAAGGAGAGTGAGTCACTGCCTGCTGCGGAACATCATGTTTGGACAGGTTTTTAGAGTTTACTTTTAGAGACAGTCAGGTCAAAGGAACGGTCTTTACAGTGCAAATAGAAGGTACTACACATTCAGTATTTATTAAGATCATCTGGGTGTTAAAAGGATTAGAATAAATTTCCAAGGAATCTTTCATCTATTAATAGAAGGAATCATGTTTTTGGCCACTTCATTAATGTAAGGCATCTATTACTTATTGCAGGCATAGATTGTTCGCCACTAAAACACAGGGATTAAGATCCTAAAAGCACTTTTGGAGCTACATAGGAAGGTAGCAGAGAAAGGAGAGAACAATGTGGTGTTTTCCCAGTGGCACAGGGCACCCCAAACACGTGGAGCAGCATTTTGCCCTTGCCAGCTCCCCCCACACGGGCGCCTTCGTGCCCAGGTATGTCACATCGCTGCCCTGCGGCCAAGGAGGGACGAGGGCACAAACAACCGAGGCCAGGTCGCTCCGCGCCAGCACGGCCCACGGCCCAGCCCAAGCATTACTCGTGGTCGCTGCTACGTGGGACCTTGGCATCAGCCAGGGATCCAAGAGCACTCCTAAACTGCAGCCCGCACTGGCCAAACGGGGATGTGTATCTTCAGCCAAAGGTGAAGCAAGGATCCATGCAGTGAGGCTTCAAAAAGCATCTTCTGCTCACTAATACCACCTCTTTCTTGCTCTGTTTCTACCAATTCTAATTTTCCACTGCAAATTGAGGCTATCCAAGCTCTAGACTATTCTCTAGGCTTTGAGGTGGCAAGATGCCACATACTTGACCACTGGGTGCTGCTGGTGCTCAAGTCCAAGTGTTGAACTAACCACCGGATTCATATTGATTTGGAAGCTACTTTATTTTCCTGTAGAATTACTCTAAATCTGGTAACAGGTGACATTTTCCAGGATTAGTCAGACAGAAAAGACTCCTGCCACTTCAGCACATTCTTTGGAGCTCCTATCATCCAGAACAGTGGCTCTTATTGCTGCAACACCAAATATTAGAGAGAAACCAATAAGGAAGGTTTTGCATCGTGTGTCAGCCAACAGAGGGATATCAAACTATGCTTTGGCTCGAATTCAGATGTGCTTTCTCCACAAGACAGGTTCTAATCACCAGTTTTCAATGCTGGCTTTTTCCAGCATTGACTGCACCCTGTTCCATCACTGACACTAGACTTCATGAGGACAGGCAGGCAAGCAAAGAAATTGTCCCCCATCACAGAACTAACCTGTGTCACCTCTGTGCTATATATTACACAGAGATAACCTCGCTCAGGAGCGATCCCATATGTTAATGCTATGCACTGCTTGTATTCACTGTGCACACTGAACAAGTGATAGGAAGAGATATTCACTCTCATCATCTTATTGTTTCCCAGCTTCATTGCATCTCTACTACCATTACTGTGGATCTCTAATATTCCCTTCTGTTGAGCAACCCTGTCTTGAAAAATCTGCCAGGGATCAGTTAACAAAATTAAGGAAACCTACTAGCAAAGTGTGCACACCATTATTTCCAAAAGCCTCCAGCTAAAAATATTACAGGGGAAGTCTGTAATCCCCTGTAATCCCAAGTCCCTCTCCCAAAGGCCTCCCTTTTATTCCAAGGCTACAGTTATAGAATAGCAAAGATTAAACTGAGGTTGCCTGCGCACTCTTCAGCTTGCACCCAAACTGCTGCCAGCAATACAGGCGTTCAGGCAGAAGGAGCAGCTCAAACTGTGAGCAGCCCTGACTCTGCAGCTGACCTCTCCTTAGGAGAGCAGCAGAAAGAGAGCATGACCTTCATTTCTTAATTGAAAACCTAGAACAGAAGAGCTACACACTTGCATGCAACTGTTCCGATGCATCTGCCAGCACCTCAGCTGACAAGTCAGACAGCCACATGCCAGAACGAGCTGAAGGCCCCAACTAGTTCTCTTTAGCAGCAAACACACACTGCTGTGAAGCCCACCTTCCCACCTTCCACACTAGCAGGTTTGCCTTCCCTCTGGCTGCCCTCTCTGTTGGGCCACTGAAGGGGAAAGAGCAATCAAAAGCAAGCAGTAGGATGGCAGTAGTGGCAGCAGGTGGCCTGGCCTGCAGGAACAGAAAAAGTAAGGGAGAATTCCTCACTAATTTCTTCAGATTCCAGAAGGCCCCTAAATCTCCAGACTAACAGTAAAGCACCCAGAGGCACTGCTCTCAGCCTGACTCTCATGCTACAGACTTCCCTATTAAAAATCCCTTTCAGCATTCAGCTACTCACAGATGACTGCTCTCCCTCTCCACCCTGCAAGGCTTCCATTACAAGCCTATAAACAAATTTAATTTCCACCAGTGACCCACCTGCCCTGCAAGTAACATGCAGCACTTCTGCCACTTGACTCAGCAGTCTGCAAAGCACATCCCACGCCTGACTCCAGAGATCCCCAAATGCACCACACTGCGATAGACTTGGATTCATCCCTCAATCCACCACTGCCTTAACTCAGACACCCTCCCCTTGCACTATCACACATCAGGCAGCACATTATCCGAGCGACTCTCTACTGGTCTTGGCCTTCTCCCCAGCACTGCTCCAGGAAACACACTGACCACAAGGTGAAGTTTGTCATATGCAAGTCATTTTGCAAATACGTAAACTGGATCATTAAATATTTACATAAGTTGTTATATGTTTTTTGCACAGAACTTGGCAGCTCCAAAGTGCTTATTTGTGACATCAAGCTAGAGCCTGGGAAAGGAGGAGGAGAAAAGACCCTGGAGTGGGAAGAAGGAAAGAATAGTTAATCCCTTCTCTCTCAAACAAGTGCTACAGAAAAAGCACACATGATGATAGTCTTTTCCATGACTGCACACAGGGTTCCTGCCTAAATGTCCTGGAAATAACTAGGGCAACGTTCCTACAAGCACGCTCTGCACATTTGCTTCTTGGAATCTCGCTCGGCCCCTCTTCCCCTCCACCTCCGTGTGCGTTAGGCTTTGGCCTCCCTCGTTGTCTACTGGCTGCCACTTTGTTTAGGGAACTCAGACCACATAGAAAGTTGTTTGCACCACTGAATTTTCTTTATGGTTCCCATGAGCTGCTGCTAAAAAACAGGACCAAAAGAAACAAGATGCCCTGAGGGGACTGTTCATTGGACTAGAACTGGTAGAAAGGACTACAGATATTTCCATTCTTAACAGCATTAGGGTCCAGGGCCAGCTGGGGACCCTGCTCCTTTGCAGTGCAGGACAAAAGAGAGAGCAATAATAAAATCTGGAGACCATCACTATCCCCCTGTCTGTGGCACCCATCTCTTCATGACATCCACATGGTGTGTTAGTTTGCAACCGAGTGGGAATAGAAGCCAAAGCTTGGTAGGGAGGTACAAACCCCTATTTATGGAACTTTTGGCAATATCTCTATTATGGCAGAATCTCTCTAACCAAAGTTGGACAGGTTTATTCTAGCAGTTCAGCATTAAATAACAAGATCCAGGAACAATTTTACCAGGTTTTGCAGAAAAAGAAAACATGACTGGTTACCAAAAAATAAAGCAAATAGGCAAATGACTTGGTGAGTTTCCAAGTTAGGCCCTACCATTAATAGACTTTTGAACCTCTTCTTTCTCCGACTAGACTCTCGCTGTGCAGCCACCAAGGGTTGTCCAGCTCCTCCGAGTCTTCAGCACATGGACCTGCTGTTAGGTTAAACACTTGGGTCACATGAAGACCCAAAAAGGCTCTACCTCTGTCTGAGCCTAGGTGGGCCACCCTCTGTTACCCAAGGAGGGTTCAGGGAAGACTAAAAAAGTAACTTGAGGAGAATAAAAAGAAGAGAGAAATCTAAAGAAGAGATAAAAAAGGGACCCGGTAATTAGTACTATCCACTCTTCCTTTAGAATTTTCTAAAGGATACTAGGACAGAGAAGGGGGGTAACTAAGGCTTGCATGACACACTTTACTGGACGATAGTGTTGTGTTATGGTGGTTATAAGTACATCACTGCAAGATGTACAAATATTCACCAAAGAGCCATTTTCCTATTTAAACAATTCTTGCAGCCAGAAGAGCTGTTTTACTGAAGCTCAACAAGAGTAGGTTAAGTGAAGACCAAGTGCAAGGACCTTAACATAGGCCTACTTGTTATCCCCCTGGATGTTTCTAGCTGCCTGCCACGGGATTCAGAGATATAACCAAGGGCATCACTGTGCCAACACTTAGGACTATGGCAGACTTCCCTGTAGCTCAAAGAGTAAGGGCCCATCTCCTCCATTTTATACAATAAGAAAATGCAAGATTTGATTTTTAAATATATTTATATATATACACACATACCTGTAAATTCCCTAAAACGAGGCAAATGTCTGAATGTGCAGTAAGTTTCTAATTAGTAAATAGATTAATAAATAGATAAAATCTTTCTCCAGAGTGATCCAAACTCCAGTTTTCTTAATAAGAGCAAGGAAGCTGTGAAACTCCTCTGACCTGACACGCTTCACAGGCCCAAAGGCCCGGGGATGCGCTCGTGTGCGAGGTGACGCCTAGTGACGTGGTCACGGCTTGATCCCGGGCATCCACGCGCAAAGGAATCGCATTCCCCAGGCAGCAAGGCCTGCCAGGCTGGGGTTACTGCCGGCGGGACTGGCTGCTGCAGCCGGCTCCGGCCTCGGCGCGGCCGCTGAGGTAATGTGAATTCCTTGGCTCCCAGCAAGCACCTGAATTCCTTGGGAACCACAGGAATCCAGCACAGAAAAGGTAAATACCCCGGCAGGGGCAGGGTTAATTAGGGAGCAGGCCTACTGAAGGAAGGGATGCTGCAGATGTGAAGCGGAATGAGCTGGGCTGTTATGAAGCCCATTGCCCACTCTGGCACCACTGGAACTCTTGTGTCGCTCGGGAAAATCTCATCCCTTGGGCTGCTCCTTGGGCCCTTCACACAGGAACATATGGTTTTCAGCTCAGATTTGCTGCTCTCTCTTCCCTTCTCTCTTTCCCTTTTTTTTTTTAAGTTAATCTCTCTCTCAATGCTGGTGTAAATCTGACTGAGAAGTTCCTGTTTGGCCAGGACACCCCTAGCCATTCAGGCTCAGAACTAATGCTGCCTAAACCTGACAATTTAGGCACACCACTGCCCCCCATCCAAAAAAAGAAGTTGTACGGAGTTCTCCCCCAAATAAAAAGCCATTTCACTATGAAATTCCTCCCATCATACAATGGTTCCCTATTATGCCTTCACCCGGAGACACAGAGAGAAATGAGAAGTTCTGAACTGACATCATCAGCCACTTCTGCCCCTATGTCCTCTTCGGTTGCATTTCAGATGCAAGGCAGGCATGTTATTCTCCTCTCATATGGATCCTCTTCCAAAAAATAGCATAATCCACTAATTCTATAGTCCAGAAGAGCAGCTTGAGGATTTCTACCTGTTTGTGTCCACACAGCAACTCACTAGGTATAGTAAGTCACCCTTAAAAGCATGTTTTTCTGAGGGCAATTCGTAATTAAGTCTACAGCTTATGAACACTGTGCCTCAGACTGTGCCTCAGAATTTAAAAGCTATGCCAGTAAATATATTCTAAGTCAGAAATGTGAGAAACCACAAATAAAAGTGCAAAGACTTTTGACATACGTTTAAATGATTACCTGCGGGAAAGCCTGGACTCAACTAGCAAAGACTATTTTCTCAGCTTAGTACATATACCTTAAGTCAATCTAACCCAATTCCTGAGAAGATCAGCAAATGTGCTCTACCTTTTTGTGTCCTAACTTCCCTAGGAGTATGCAGCCTGCTTCTGCTGACCAAAGCTTTGTCCTCATAAAACACGGTTTCTTCGCACGTGTGAGGCAGGGGCAGAAGGGGAAGAAAGGGGTAGGCAGCCACAAAGAAATCTACTCAGCATCAGCACCTCTTAAGTTCCGTTTACTGCTATTCTAAGGACTAAAGCTTGTATTTATGGTCAGCATCTTCCTCAAAAACAGCACTGAAGAAACCGCTTCATCCAGACAAATAAAACAACTTTTCAGAACTTCTGACATAGACCAAGCAATGATACCCGAGGGCTGTTACACAGGCTAGGATAGTCACCCTTCAGATTTCCTTCACCTCTGTCTAAGGAATTGTTTTCTTCTCTCTTTCACATGAGAAGTGAAACACAAACAACATAAGCTTGAACCTTCAATTCTTTTTTTTTTTTTTTTCTTCTCAGCAGTGACACCTCAAATTCCACTCTAGATCACATCAGGACAAGTCCAGTTGTGCTAAGAGAAACCAGGCCTAAGGACATATCTTGACAAACATGCAATCACAGACGTGTGTAATACCAAGCTCCATCCTTTTCAAGAAAAGGATTGCATCTTATGTTTTCCTGATAGCACTCCTCTTCTGGTAGAGGGCACCAACTTAACTGAAACAGTCCAACTCTTTTGTGGAAGCACTCAATGCATAACACCAGAGGGGAACATTATCTTTCAACAAATTACAAAGGAATTTAGGATAAAAAAATTCAAAAAGACAACCCAGAAAAAGTCAGCCTGACTATATTTTAGAGAACACCTACACTTTCAGAAAGCAAACTCAGAACATGGAAATCACCATAGCACCACACAAGCACTAATGGAGGGCCCTAAACCAGATAATTTTGTTCCACATGTGAGTTTCCACTTCAGACTGCTTTAATATCCTCTTTGACTACAGGTCCCTATTTCACCTCCCAATACCCTCCTATACCATGCTTCTATTTTTAAACATTTTTGTTACAATGAAGAACGAAAACCAGCTTCCACTTCCCAAGGCTCTAGTGTTCTTCCCTTGCACAGCTGAAGTTTCACCCCAGCGTCAAAGCGTCACACGGTGCAAGGTAACCAGGAGTCTCTCCAGCATTTAACACCATACAGTTAAATGGAAGGCCAGAGACACAAACAGGAAGCCAGGAGCCTGTAGTTCCAGGATCCTCACCTCTCTCCAAATGTCTGGACTCACAAATCCAGGGTATGTGGGAAAAAAAAAAAAAACAAATGGCTAAAATCAAAGAGCACTAGTGCCATCTGGAGGCCACAAGGCAGACCCTCTCTCCCAAGTTTTCTGTCACCTCGGCTCATACCCGACCTGTCCTCCAAAAAGGGCTTCCCAGTGCTCGTTACACAAACATATCGACCCTAGATCTTCCAAAGAAAGGAGAAATTGAGCATTCATTAAGGAGATTGTTTTCAAATGATAGGTATGAATTTATACAGCCATTCTGGTGTCTAGAACCCACAGATTGAACTTGTCAGGCAAGTGGACGACGTATGATCTACATTTGATTATAGTTTAAATCAATAAAAACCAAAGACACTCAAGACTCTTCAGGATTTTAGAATATGAAGAAATTCTCCCTACCTGGCCAATCCTTCCTCGTAGAGATAAATGACCAGTGGATCATAGGATGTAACCAGAACATACAGGCGCACATCAAATTTGAAATCTGAAATAGTTATCAGGAGTCAGTGGTTGTAAATTAGTTGGAAGGAGGAAAAAAAAAAAAAACAAAAAGCCCCCCCCCCCCCCTCCCACATACCAACCTCACCACAGGAGACCTTAAGAGCAACAGGAGGAGTGAACTACGTCAGCTTGTTGCTGACACAGGGTGCGGGAAGCTTTCCCGATTGAAAAGCTTACTGGTTTTAATAAATTTTCTGGTCACGTTTTTGTGGTACTGGAGGGAGACTGGCCACTCAGTTCTCTCAAAGCCCAAAATGCTCCCCAGGCAAATCCTAAGCACACTCACCATCTATGAGCAGGGGGTTGCTGATGTAACGAGAAACCAAGATGTTTTCTTCCAGGACAATCTGGTTTGGCTAAGAAAGACAGAATCCAAGAGTGAAAAAGATCAACAGATTTACAGGGAGGAACAAGATAGCTAGATCAAGCCTATCATCCTTCTAGTCCTTCTCTCCCAAAGCCATTCTGCCTGACAGCTGTGTCTGATGATGAAAAACACTGGTCAATCACAACATAATTAAGGCAAAAACAACATAATCAGAAGCCCAAGGAACAATTACTTCTCCAAAATACTGAATCTGCTCCTTAGAGTGGAATGCACATCTAATATCACTGAGCAATACTGTAAAAACAGCAAGAAAAAGAAAACTTGGGAAGCAACTGTTACTCTGTTGCTGCTCCAAGTGTTTAACTAGGCACACAGAAGAGGGTTTTATTAAAATAAATTAGAAGCAGTAACTACAGCAGGCAAGGAAGTCACGAGTGAAGATGATGACTCCTCAATTTGCCATCTTTCCAGCCTGATCCAGTGCTGCTGTCAAATCATTCCTCCTAAGTAAATACCTTCTATTAAGGTTTAAGCCCACAGCAGGGCCTACTGCAACAGGAAATAGCTATTTTTGGAGTTTCAAATAGGAAGTTCTGTCTGTAACAAATGCACATCTCAGTCATGTGACCTCTTTAAACAGCTTTTATCTTTTTTCTGTATATAAGTCTCTTCTTGTAATCCGTTTCAGCTACTCATTTGCAAAACAGTTCCTTGACACCATTTTGCAAAGGAGCCAGGAGAGGCATCATCCTGCCTTTACTCGGTTTGGCACCTATTCAAACACATCACCAGTGGCACAAGCAGGAATCCTAGGCCATATATAGGGTGAGTATACACCATAGGCTTGAACAAACTCAGCTTCCATTAGATGTAACACAACTGGCAGCCTGTTTTACTATGTACTGAATTTAGCAGAGAGAATTACAGTTTTTGAACTCCCTTGTGAAAGGGATGAAATTCCTAAAGATGCTCTGTTCATGGATACACAGTGAAGGAAAAAGAAGTCTTTGGGCGAAGTTAGCTGAAATATTTCTGGGAGAGATATGCACAAAGGGAGATTGGCCCCGAAGGGGTCTTTTCCCCAGTCCATGGCCAACTGCCCACATTTAAGCCTGAGCTCATTCCTCTCTGTCAAGCAAAGCAAGAGAGGAGTGCAGCTCTGGAAATACTTACTTCATACACTTGGCAAAATGCTCCCTTATTTTATGGGAAAGGATCCAGGTAGAGAACAGATGAGGCAGCATGACCCCTTCAGAGCACGGAGGCTAAAGGGGTTTGAGTGAGTGAAAACAAAATGACCCACTAGTCAGTTTTGCTGCTTGGACTATCTACTGGAATCCCCTCGTGTTTTGGCTCCTGTCCAGATCTATTTGTTACCTATGATAACCTAACTCCCTGCAAAGTCTAAAAAAAGGAGGGGAGGGAGTTAACAACATAACTACCAAAATAAATGTAAAATTCATCCTCATTACACTTCCAATAAAGGCACACTAATGGTCAGGTAACAAAATTCTGTAGGATTGATATATATTTTCCTGTATCACATGGGACCCATTTTAAATGTTCTTATTCCCAGAGGACCGTATGGGGCTATTTGAAGTGCACAGGAAAAAACACCTTCCTTCCTCAACAAGAGGAACAGAAAGCACACCAAAACAACCACCAACTGTACAACTTCCTGTGAAGCCTCCCAAGGCCAGCCTACCATCAGCCACAAAACAGCATGAAGATGCACAGCTTCTAAAACTGTCTCTGGGAAAATAACTGGGAAAATAACTGGTTCTGTATAAACTAAGGCTTGAAAAGAGCATATGTTGCAAGACAAGCACAGCAGCTAGAGAAATAGCTTGGTTTGTGGTTACACAGTATAGAACAGTACAGGCTTGGCCATCTGTTCAGGAATGCTATGGCATCAACGTTCTGCTGAAGTGCAGAGCAGTGCCAACGTTGAGTTGTATGTTCCATGCCACTTGCCTGAAAGCTGGCATGGTTTTGCAGACAGACAGTGTTACTGATGAGCAGTTATTTTGCCAAACACTTACATTGTTGATCAGGTAAACACCTCGACCCCTGGAAGAGGCCACAGGCTTCACTATCCATGGGCCCTTGTCTTTAGAATATGTATCTGGTTAAAAGAAAAGATCAGAGATGTGAAACATCTTCAATTTTATTTATTTACAGAGCAGCAAGAATGTTGCCTACATTAAAAGCTTCAGATAACTCCGGGAGATTACGGTCTGCTTATCAATGTTCTTCACTTCTTGAGGCTCGTGACAGTTACTATTGGCTCTTCCTCAAGCCTATCCTGCTGTTCTGACAGATTCTTTCCCTGCCCTGCACCTCCTTTTGGCATCTCTCTCGCTTCAGTATTCCCAGATATTAGTTAGGGATATTACAAATCTGAGAACTTATGCTGCACACTCCATGCCTGCATAACAGAAGTGATAATAAAGAAATGATGTAAGCCTCTTCCACTGACTGTATTTCCAATTTCCTCCTATTTTGTTGCCTCAACCCCTGGCAAAAATCAACAACTTGGATATTAAAAGAAATCTCCCGTATACCCAGTTGTTTTGATTTGGGCTGGGCATCATGAGCACTTACTGCAGAATTCCTGATACTCTGCTGGGAGGATAAAGGTCTGCGGCAAGATGTGGAACGTCTTGAATCCGTGGGTCTGCTGCATACGACTGACATTTTTGTACAGTCTGTCCTTTCTTGTCAGTTCATATGACCTGAGGTCCCACAAAGAGAGACTGTGTCTATTTATCCCATGAAAAATACATTCCAGCAAGCTGCTGATCTAGTTAGTAAAGTACCTGTAACCCTGCCAGACAACTCAAATCCAGCCTGCAACAACCACTCTTCTATTTTACTGTCTCTCCCCACTAAGGCCCTGTTAATACTGACTCCCAACTCCAGTGCCTCTTGCTATTCCACTGCACCTCCCATAGGCTCCCATGCAGACAGCAGCACAGTGAAGTGCTATAATGGTGTTGTAAATTTTAGCAGATGACAGATTACCATCTCCACAAATAACAACACAGAGCCCCCAAGTGTCTCACATCTGCAAGTAAAGCAGAGAAATGTAGTATCTGAGCAAAAGACAAGCACTTTAACTCATAACACCATCTTCCCCAAATACTTCGAGATTGTTTAGACTGAAGACAGCACATGGCACAGGCCTACTGCTCTTTACCTTGCTATCTACACTCAGATTTGTGCAAATCATGACAGAGACATTCAGCAAAACATGACACCCTGGCCTTACCTTGGGAAGTGATTGACTTTCTGAATATCTGTAAGGGAACGCAGCAAGTAGGGCTTCAAGTGTGATCCTGTCCACATGAGATTATAATCACTGCTGTTAGGGTGAACCTTAAAAAAAAAAAAAAAAAAAAAAAGGCAGAGAATTAACTAGAAGCACCACTGCTTTTCCTACAGATTGGGTCTTTGCATATATACAAAAAGAACACGTGTAGGTGCAGAGCAATTCAAGTTTAAGAGAATCCCTTCTATCCTTTTCTAACATTAACACAATTACAGACAGACTCCTAGAAGAGTTCTAAGCAGCTGAGAGCTGCTGAGAAATAAGTTTATCACATTTCTCATATTTACATACATCAATTAAAAAAAAAAAAGTTTTGCTGTTTTCATAGACCACTTTATCCAGATCAAATTTATAAAGCACTCCAAATTTCTTCTGGAAACTTGGGAGTCTGATTCCCTGAGCTTTGCTTTATTCAGAAGATCTTCCATCGTAGGTATATAACCACAGAATTGTCATTAGCTACAGACAGGACATTCTTTACAGCAACACACATGCTAAAAGAGAAACATAAGACACTACAATAATGTTTCTAAGAGCTCTCCCAAGCTGAGCTGAAAATCCTTGAGAACTTCCCAACAGCGGAGTTGAAGCTCTAGAGGCATGATGAGAAACACTATAACGTTTATTCTGACAGCTCTTTGACCCAGCTTGGCAGACTTCAGACTCTAAGGTACTCCTTTAAAAGAGCAAAACCATGAAGATACCTTCAGGATGGCTACAGAGAATATGTGAACACTCAGAGAATTTAGTGAACACTCACTAAAATTTCCCAATTCTAAGTCTGAAGTATATTAAACAAAATAAACAAAAAAGCAGGCTGCTTTTTTGTTGTTGTTTTATTTTCTTTTTTACCAGCCTGCTAGCACTGTGCAGTTTGTTGCACTCACCTCACGGAATCCATGGGCAGTCAGAATGCTCCGGACCAGGCGGCTGTCTGTTCTCACAATCTTATAGGAGAGGTGATAACGTTCTTTTAGGAAAGCAAGCAAGGGACAGAATGTTAGAGGCTGTACATAGGAAAACCAAGCAACTTAAAGCCAACAAAATAGAGACCAGCACCAGAGAGCCCGGCACAGTACAGCTGCACTTAAAACCCTGGTGGAGAGCCCTAACTGTAACAGCACAAAACAAGGCACAAGGTGACAAGAAATGCCTACCTCTCTCTGGGCACAGTAATTCATATCGGCATCACATTGGCTTAGACCAATTTTTGTGTGTCAAATTTCTGCTTCACTGAAACATAACTAAACACAAGACACTGACAAAGGTTTTCTGTTTTTGTGTTTTTTAAAACAACTCTTCCTAACCTGTTTTGTAACACCCTACACAAAACTCCAACTGCTTCTTCTCAATCCAGGATTAGACTTCCTAGCCCAGGGCAACCATGTTATGCCCTTCCTTCGCATGACTACTTAAAATGTTCATTTTTTAAACCTTGAAATCTCACAATAAAACACTACCATTCCTTTGTTCACATCACATTCCCCTGTACTCATCTTTAAACAAACAGCTGCAAAAAAAGTAGAAAATAAAACAGGACAACTATTAATTGGGGGGAAAAAAAGAAAATCACTAAGTATAAAGTCACACAATCAAAATGGGTAAGCAGCACTGGAAGGATAAAAAAAACAAGAGCATGGAACAGAGGAGTAACATAAGAGGTCACCTGTCATATGAAAGGATTAGTTAATCAGAAAAAAAGTTCAGAAAAGATAGACATCGTAAAGCTAGAATACAAAAATCTGATTCACACCAGAAAGATGAAAAAACAGATGATGCCTCAGAAAAATGTTCTAACAATAAAAATGAGTCTCTAGGGAGAAGAGGGGGAAGCATCACCTGGGACTAGAGAAAGCCCTACAGGCAACTCAACAAGCTGTACTATCCAGGAATCAACTCGTCAAGCTGCATTAATTTCCTCCCTCTCTCCTGAGAGGAGGCAAGAATACCATCACACTTCAGTTTGCACTAAAGCTGGAAATTCCCTCAACTAGTGTCCTAACTGGAGTCAAAAGAATCAGAAGTTTTCATACTTGCAAATCATCTCTCCACCCCTACCCAAATGAGTCACAAGCATTTCTGCTTGGTTAGGATATTAGAAATGTGGCACCAATTACCTACGAAAGGGAGAAGCAAGAGAAGAAAGAAAGGGAAAAGCAAGAGAAGAAACAAGTGTCAGCATCTTTACAAGAAGGAGCTGCGTGGATTTTAGCTTTTCCCCAACTCAGCAGCTCCACAGCCAGCTGCCCACACCCGCACGCGCCAGCTCTCGCAATCTGCAGCGGCTGCTCACAGCTCTGCCTCCTATTTAGAGGCTCTCCTTTGTTTTACACTGGGCAGTTTTGGTCTCCTGATCCCAAAGCTACCAGAGCAACACCTTTGTTTATGCATTTACTCTGCTTTACAAGCTGTACATGCAGAGACTTGTTATTAAATCTTATTACTGTTTCTACGACTGGAGGGCTGCCCCATGAAACCTTCCCAAAAATCTCACTGGACTAAACTTAAACTTGACTTTAAGTTCTCTGCTACAGACCAGTGAATTTCTCTGCTGATTCTAAGTTCTGCCACAGCCTCCTCACTGATACACGGGTAGACAGTTCCAATTCCAGACATGTCAAGACTCAATGGAGGGACAAGGACACTTGTCACAACCCAAACGCGATAGACATCTACCAACCAATGGCTTCTGAACATCTCTGTGCTCAGGAAAGGAAAGAGTACAGTTAATCCTCAAACCAAACGCAATCTCCTTCTCAGCATCTCTTCTCCCGCCGAGAAAGGAAGGGAACCTCCAGATGAGCGGCTCCCACCTCACACGCTGGGCCCGAGCGCTGCCTCGTGGTCGCACCCACCTCCGACGAGCCGGAGGTAGCTGTCGTTGGTGAGAATGGCTTCCGCGTGGAACACCAGGATGGGGACGCGCCGGCAGCCGCCAGTCCACTTGATGCACGGATGGTCCCTGCAACGGCACCACGGTGAGCGCAGCGGCCTCGCGCGGGCGCGGCGGTTACTCACGGCCAGGGAGCGGTTCCCCGGCTTGCCCACGCTTGCCCACCTCATCTGCGGGCAGGACACACAGCCAAATACGGGCTGGGCACTTTGGTACAGAGCTATCCGGGTAATCTTCAAGGTCTTCCTGTTTTGCACTGGTCACAGAATCACAGGAGGTTGGCGTTGGAAGGGACCGTTAGAGACCATCTAGCCCAGCTCCCCTGTTCAAGTTTGACCATGTTAAGTCATTTTTTGTTTAACTTGTAGTGATTTTATCGACCGTAGTTTGAGAGAAACCCTGTGGATTTTCACCGCTACTGTTCTTTGGGTTCGTTGCCTACAGGAAAACAAGATCTGCATTTCAGGGCAGATCACAATAGCCACGTGCACCTTCCCATGCCCCACAAGGCAGGTTCCAATTCCAACTCCTGAAGGGCTGCCTAGTCCGAGTGCTGAAGCGAGCAAAGGGGCACTCAGCAGACACTGTCAGACGAGAATGTACTTGGCTCGGCGCAGAGACTGAATCTGGGCATTCTCCTCACCATTCCTGCCAAGTGCAGTGGGATGTAAGCCCAAAATTCAACAGTGATGTCCCCAGCTAGCCACTTACAGGGGCTACAGGTTCCAAGCTACAGTGAGCCATGGTGTGCCAATTAGCAAGGCTACTCTGAATATTAGAAACTGCCACCCCTCTCAGTTAGAGAGATTAAGTTCACATACACGCGCACACACACACAAAATAAAAGCTATTATATAAAGCCCTGAGATGACAGAAAGCAAACCTGTCAAGCTGCCTAAGCAAATAAAACTCAGATTGCTTATTACTCACCACTCAAGCAAATGGAATATGAAAAAGTTAACAAAAACCAGAGACAATGGGGTGGAGAGACACTTCTGAATCTACAGGGACAAGAAGAAAGGGAATGACTGGCACAGAGGTACACAGAAATACTTGTTTATAGAATATGCAAGATCATTGTCTGGCCAAGAGCCGCAGAAACTACAGAGGACAATTCCAAAGGCTCCCAGATTTTTTGAACATATCCATTAGATGGTACTAAAGCAATAGGTCAAGCTGGCAAGGCTGCAACAGCTGCAGGCTTAGCCAACTAGCCTGCATTACTAAACTCTGTTTCACTGAGTCTGTAGACAAATATATTTAAGATCCCAAGTGCAGGCCCAGCACAAGCCCTGTGGTCTGTTCTCAAGTAGCAGGCAGTGGGCCATGGAAGCGCTCACCACTGGCATCTACAAGAGAACACTCAGGTTATAAGCTAGATTAAACATAGCAGGAGGGGATAAAACAGACTCCAAACCTTCAAATCCCACTTCAAAAGGTACTCAAGCAATGCAACATAATTCCACTGCATAGAGATCTACATGGAAAAAAAAAAAAATTGGAATGACCTTTTCCTATCCCTGAAACAACAAGGACAAAAATAAACATAGAAAATAAGTGACCAAGGGCAGATGTCCTATAGGCAAAAACAAGTCAAGTAACCCCCTCCCATCTGCCAAATCCTAGGAAAACCCACACTTTCCAGGGCAGCTTTAGACTCAGAGCTGCTACCTAACACAGATCCCTTATCCTGACCTGTGACTTGCAGCCCAAACAAATTTTCCATTCTGTGATCTTGCCAAGTTCTGAACAGGGCCATTATTCTTCCAGTTGCTGACAAGACACTGCATCAGTCTGAATGCCTGTGCCAAGCCAGTATTCAGAGATCACACTTTTAGCCAAACAAAAGTACTTTAAAAAGTGGCAGCAATCCCACCCTTCCAACACAGGTACAGAGATATGGGGCAATTCTGTCTTGATGAGAGGACACATAGGTCGCCTATGTGGAAACTTAGTCCTCTTAACGAATAGGAACTTGGTTATCCTCCCCCAAATTAACTTCTCCACACTCCCAACTGATCCTTCACCGTTCAGAAATCATCTCCTTGGGTGTAATCAACGATTCAGCCTGAAGTGCCCCAAGAAGATTCCAGCACCTACAGTGCAGGCCAGAGCCTTATATAAGTGAAAAAGGAGCTGAGGCAACAGGAGGGGAGGTTACATTAAGCCAGCAGTGAGGATTTACAGTAAGGCCAGACAATCCTCCAGGTGACTGTCAGTCATCCCTAGCATGACCCTTGGTCCCTTGATACAGGCACACAGTTACCACTGCATCCTGGCTGGGAACAGCTCCGGGCCTGTGCATCCCAAAAGTTCCGGCAAGCGGGAAGCAACAGGTAACTCAGCCTTGTAAAGGGCCTGAGGCACTGCAGGTTGGGCACTCGGTCACGTAATCAGCCAGAGCAGAATAAGCAGCCCGTATTAAGGAGTTTCAGATGAAACAGAAACAGGATTTCACTCTGGGGAAAAGAAAACGAGTCCCTCAGAGGCAAGGGTAAAACTAAAATGGAATGGAGGTGCACTAGCAGCTAATACCTACTCAGAGGTCTCACAAGACAGGTTTTTAAAAATTAAATAAAACACTGCAGATGAGGCCACTGTCAAGTAAAGTATATTTCTCCTCCCTGCAGCCAAAGCAAAAACTTAAAATAGGAAGTCTCATTTATTCTCTTAAGTGCCATAAAAAAGTGCCTGACTTCAGGACAGCAAGAGATCAAAGAAACAACAGATTTTAGAGTAGCCAAGAGCTGCATCCTCAATCTTTAGGAAAATGATAGTCCTTAAAGCTCCAAAAGCAGGGAGTCTGCCCACAGACTTGAGGGCTATACCAGCCATCCTCTCTCCAAAGCAAGGAAGACACCTGTCTTTCCAGATTAGCACAAATCCTCCAGGAAGCAGAGGCAGAAACTGTTCAGTGTTTAGGCTTTTAAAACTATTTTTTTCCTACTTACTCCAGCCCGTCCGCCACCTCCTCCTCTTCCTCCTCCTCCGAGGATGAGCAGGTCGCCTCTGGGTCGCGAGCCATCCCAACCGGCATCTCCCGGGGGGTTTCTCATGCAGCCGCGGCTCCGGCGCCTCACAGGTCCCGGCCTGCAGACTCAGGGCACCTGGCAAGAGCCGCTACCTGTAACGGGGACTGAAAGCAGGAGCGCAGAGCTGGGCAGGACGGGCAGGGGGGCCGGGCAGCCCGGGGGCGCCGCGACCTCGCGACGGGCCGTGGGCGGCCGCGGCGCCCGGGGCTGAGTCCCCAGCGCCGCTGAGGCTCTTGCTGCGGAGCCGCACCAGGCTGCGCGCCCCGCCCCACCCCGCTAACGGCTCGGTCCCGGCCCGGTAACGGCCCCGCCCGGCCTCCCCCGTAGGGCGGCCAGAGGAGAGGCGAGGGCGGCAGCCGGGGCTCGCGCTGTCCCTACCTGCTCCCTCATGGCCGCGGCGGCGCAGGCGGGACGCGCCGAGGCCAGGCCGGGCAGGGCCGGGCAAGGCCGAGCGGACGCGTCGGCCCCGCCGCCACCGCCGCCCCTCCCGCCGCTTCCCCGTTACTACAACAACCAACGGGCCGCGCACCCTCCCCGCGCCCGCACTGCGCAGGCGCCGGCGGCTCGGCGCAGCGCGCAGGCGCGGCCACCGCCCCCCGCC